ACTCCGAGTATATTTCAGGTACCCTTGCTACTTTCTCAGCATTATTTCATTTATTTATCATTATCATTATTATTTGAATTTCTATGCCACCCTTCATCCGAGCATCACAGGGCGGTTTAGAATATTGAAACACAAAAATACATAACAAACAAAAACAAGAACCCCACCCCACCCCTCTCTCTCTCTCTTACTTTAAAAGGCCATAGATTGCTCAGTTAGTCAAAGGCCTGGGAGAAGAGGAATGTTTTTGCCTGGTGCCTAAAGATATGTAACAAATGTGCCAAGTGAGCCTCCCTGAGGAAAGCATTGCACAAATGTTTAGGGACGTTTTTAATGTTTTAATGTTTCTGGGAGCAACCCAGAGTGGGTGGGGTGTAAATAATAATAATAATAATAATAATAATAATAGGGAGCCACCACAGAAAAGGCCCATTCACATGTTGCCATCCTCCAGACCTCTCATGAAGGAGCCACAAGAAGGGACATCTGATGATGATTACAGGGACCCATTTGTTTCATATGGGGAGAAGCAGTCCTTCCAAATCTGCCCACTAGCCCCAAAGGATTGGTACCCCCTGCCTTATGTAAAAGGACATTTGAGTTAGAAGACATATTGTACCTTTGGTGTGTGTGTGTGTGTGTGTGTGTGTGTGTGTGTGTGTGTGTGCATCTCAGCACCTGTATATTGTCCTCAAAGGGAGAATGGCTTAGGACTTATTTTAAGCATCTCAGCAGTGTGCGAATCAGAGACGGCAGAAAAGAAGCAGGTGCTTGGGGGCAAGGAAGCTTCTCAAGAGTCTGCCAACATAACAGAGCCAGAGGCTACCTCAGACTCATCAGCATAACTAGCTGACATCTTATCTGCCTCCTGTGACAAGCCAACTATGCCCCATTTCATGCTGTGACTGCCTAAAAGAGCGCAACAGGAAAGTTGCCCAACACGGAGCTCACTAGTCAGACAGAAAATCAGTCTAATAAGAAACAGCCTCCATTAGGAGCAGCTAACTCTGTGTAATAGGCTCCTGGGTGAGGAGAGGAAATGGATGAAACCTCCAGCTGCTGTAATTTACTGTCGCTTCATTGCCTTTGATAAGCAGGCACTGATCAGCACATGGGATGAAGCCCAGCCGATAACAGAATGCCGCCATCTCTTGCTCTGCTTTAGCACATGTATTATAGCTCAACGATGTATGGAAGTTGTGTCAAAGATCTAGCTTGTTCAGGCACTCTTTTGGCACAACTGCGCTTCCAAACTTGACTGCAATCTGAGATTGATATCTAGAAACTAGACCCAGCTAAACACCCTCAACCTTGTTCTTTTTCCTGCAGCCACTTGAGGCCATAGGATATCACTGCTGCAAGCTAGTCCTGCCAAGTCTCTCTTCAATGGTCCTACCATGAGAACAGATGGGGAACTGGATCTGCCTTGTGGGATGAAGTCCTACTTCTCCTAGCCTTCCATGGGCCAATATTGACAGGTGGGCATCATCCGACACCTGACAAAGTTTGAAAGAGATTTCTGTAACCAATGATCAGCAGTTATAGGGAGTCCCTTTGACAATCTGTTTGGAGGAAGCACTTGGAATTAAAACTGCTTTCTCCAGCTGTAGAGGGGGAGGAACAGCTTCTTCCAAAGAGAGAAACTGACACTCTCTCACTCTCTAAGACACATGCACACCCTAGAGCATCTGTGTCATGAACTTTCCTCCTCGTCCTTCTTATTTGTTGTTGTTGTTTAGTCGTGTCCGACTCTTCGTGACCCCATGGACCAGAGCATGCCAGGCACTCCTGTCTTCCACTGCCTCCCGCAGTTTGGTCAAACTCATGCTGGTAGCTTTGAAAACACTGTCCAACCATCTCGTCCTCTGTCGTCCCCTTCTCCTCGTGCCCTCAATCTTTCCCAACATCAGGGTCTTTTCCAGGGAGTCTTCTCTTCTCATGAGATGCCAAAGTATTGGAGCCTCAGCTTCAGGATCTGTCCTTCCAGTGAGCACTCAGGGCTGATTTCTTTAAGAATGGATAGGTTTGATCTTCTTGCAGTCCATGGGACTCTCAAGAGTCTCCTCCAGCACCATAATTCAAAAGCAATTCTTTGGCAATCAGCCTTCTTTATGGCCCAGCTCTCACTTCCACACATTCTTATTATTATTTATACCCCACCCATCTGGCTGGGTTTCCTCAGCCACTCTGGGCAGCTTACAGCACATACCTGCCCCACCTCTGATGTCAGAAGTAGGACAGGTGAGCATGGTTTGTGAGAAATGGCCTCATAGACCAAACTGGGACCCGTGTGGGCCAGAGGCATGAAGGGCAAGGCACCTCCTCAGGCAGAAGGTCCTGGGAAGGGGGGACCTGGAGCACTGAGAAGGTGTTGGAGGACAGAGTTCTGGACACCAAAAGGCTAGCCTGCTCCCCCTGAGTGCAGTGGAAGCAGTGGCGTAGCGTGGGGGGGTGCAGGGGGGGCCGGCCGCACCAGGCGCAACATCTGGGGTTAGGGCAAATCCACAGGTTAGGGGGTGCAAATCCACGGGTTAGGGGGCGCAAATTACTTGCCTTGCCCCGGGTGCTGACAACCCACGCTACGCCACTGAGTGGAAGATAATAATAATAATAATAATAATTATAATTATAATAATAATACTTCTTTTCTAATTTATACCCCGCCCATCTGGACATCTGAAGACAACTGAAGGCAGCCCTGTATGGGGAAGGTTTTTATGGTTTATGTTTTGTTATGTTTTTATATAAGCTGGAAGCCACCCAGAGTGGCTAGGGCATAAATTATTATTATTATTATTATTATTATTATTATTATTACTATTACTACAGAATAGGACATCCCTATTTTCACTGGAGAAATGTTGGCGGGTATGAGACGAATAAGGTGAAGCGAGACAAGTCAAAGGAAGCCAGTGTGGAAGCCAAACTTCCTTCCTCATCAAAGGAAGTTTGATGAGATGAGTTTTCAGACTGAGGAGCTGACCTGGTGCGAGCATTTTATAAGCCCTGTGTTAGAAGGTGCTCTAGATCAACAAACAACCTGCCTGGTTTTTCTGAAGAGTCGGAAGTGCTTGTGGTGCAAGAGTTAAGGCAAAGAAGTGTGGCTGTGTGCACATAGCCCACAGCTGATTGGAGAGCCCCTGCGCAGTTCAGTGTTTTGAAAAATCATTAAGGAATAGGTCTTATGATTAATGTCCTTGCTACTTCCACATACTTTTCTTTCAAAAAAAACACACACATCCAAACAATGCGAAAACTGCTGCCCGGCATACTGGGTGGAAAACAAAGCATAAGTGCTTATTACAAATCTTCAACCTCCTGAAAACAGTGTTCCAGCAAGTACTAATTTCTCTGCTTCAGCAAAGGATTAAATGTCACCATAAATTCTTTCCCCTCTACCTGAAAGGATATGGCTAAAGCTTAGTTAGCTAAAACAGGCCAGCTAAAGGCATAGCCAAGATGAGTGTAACCTTGTCTGCAATGCCCAAGGATATTTCTGGAAAACTGCCATAACACACAATAACCTGAGTCTCTGCTAAATACAACTTGTGTAGGATAAAAGACACCTACAAGAATGCTGAATTTTTGTATGCTATGTTTATCAGTTCCTTTAGCTGGCTGACTGAATCCAGTAACATTTTAATTTGTACTGTACAGATTCCTCTGGTTCAAGCTGGAACTGGGTTTGACCAATCAAGCTTTTTAATCCACCAAAATTGAATGGTATCTTTGAATTTTTCCCCTCACGCCCATTCCTGAATTTGCTATCCCTCTGTACTTTCAGTGCTTCCATTGAGAGCATCATACTGTATCAAATTGCTTTCTTACAATCCACTGTCATCCCCTAAAATTTGCCCCACCAGAGTTGTACTACATCAACTTCTGAAGGGCTAAAGGTTATCAATCAATATTCCTTAAGTGGTCATATTGATGCTAATCACTAAACAAATGATTACTCACACAAAATATTTAATTTACATTGTGTTGTGCAGTTGTTCTCAGCTTGCATATTTATAAACTTGTCGCTCATCACTTGAGAAGAAATGGTTTTTCTTCACTCAGAGATAATCTTCTTGTAGGTGGGAGGGGAGAAAGGCATGTCTTAAGGAACTGGTGCATGTAGTTAGGTCATGTTAGGAGACTTTGCTGAGTTCTATTTTTGGCACCACTGGTATACATAATCATCCAAAACTAAATAAGAACATATTGGTTAGATCTATAGCAGCCAATGCCTAGGGGCCATGAGCGCTTCGGTTCCCACAATAAAATATTTGAGGGAGCCAGCCCCCCCCCAAAGTTGATGGGCATTCCGATTCAAATGGTGGGTGTGCACTGCATCATGTGATCGCTTATGTGGGGTGGAGGTTACCTGGGCCCCCACAATATTTTATTCAAGTTGGCACTTACTGGTTAGAGCCAATATACTTCTAGTCTTTCCGAAACTAGACAGGATCTGCAAACTCAGACAAAATTTTGGAACTGAGCAGCTGCAAAGCTATTCTCTCCTGGCCACATATAAACTATTATAGTTTCAGAGTAGCACATGAAAGAGTACGATTTCAGGCCCTTATGTTACAGCCACAAAACACATGAACAATCCCACAGAAATAAACACCTGCAAGTGGTAAAACATTCCCAGTATTGTGTTCAGCACAGCTACTTTGGTAATGAATACATTAAAAAGAGTTTTTACCTCATTTTGTGGGGTGGGGGGGATCAAACCCAATCTGGAAATATAATTATCCTAGGAAGCTACCAAATGGCATAGGTGTCTCCTGATACTAGTTCCTAACTGCTTGCTGGCCACACCATAAAGTGTAAAATTAATGTAGTAAGTGGCTATGGAGTGACTATGATTAAGCATAATTTGTTTTCTTCATTGTTAAGTCCATTGTCTGCATGCTACCAGCTGTGAAATTGTGCAATAAGCCATAATTAAACAGTGAAAGAGAGTAAACAGAACTAGTTAAGTGTAATTTGGTGCAGAGAGAAACACAAGGTGACTTTTAAAGTTTTTTTATTAGCACAAAGCAGGGGAGGAAACAAACAAACAACAACTGTGAAACTTATGGTTTAAATGAGTCCACGGTGATTGTAAAATACCACTAAAGATCAGCTTGCACTACAAAACAGCGATACTACTAAGAATAACTCAGAAGGTCATTTTTCAGCTTGTCTGGTTTATCTGAGGCTGCAGTCCTCAATGTGTTTACATTTCTGCAGCCCATTTGAGTTCCGTTGGGGGTTTTACAAAAGCACCGAGGGTCACAGCCCAGATTGAGGAGTAAAGTTCGGTTCCCAAATTATATATAACTAATAAAAGTCTGATCTTCCCATTGCCGTAAGCAGAGTTCCATCCTACAGATATAGCACCAATTTGCATATAAAGTTAATAACAGCTGCCCCTGCAATGGCTTTTTGTTGCCAGCCACATAACAGCTTCTATTCATAATGATGTAATTGCATCTGGGGATGGTATGGTTGCAGAACCGAGACTGTGATGCCCACCTCAAAAAGCTTAACTCTTCCTTGGACATTGCCAGTTATCTACTGCAGAAACACTATGGGGGGGGGAACGACCTACAGCTTCTCTTTAGCCTTTTGCCTGTCAAACACACCCCTTACAAATCTACTTCCTGCTGCCCTTATCATGCTTGGAAGATTAATGAGTTCCTTCTGGCGCTACTAGCCTTGTTTTGCCACCTGTGCCAGGTTTGACGTCGGGCACCTCTTCGCCATGCTTGTACACACTGACGGTGACATCCACCATCTCGCCACCATACTTGTTCTTGACATTGATACTGTACTTTCCTGAGTCTTCTGATGCCACCCCCTTGATGACCAGACCGGCATACTTTCCTTGCTCCAGTTTGACTACATAGTGATCATTCAGTTCAAGCTCCTTGTCATTCTTAAACCAGACTATCTCAGGGTCGGGGTTACCAAACACAGTGCAGGTCAGATTCAGGGTCTAAAAGAAACAGGGAGGGAGCAGGGAAAAAATGTGAAATCCAGACTTTGGCATTGGCTTGCTAACTTAGATTTCTTGATCTCATAGCATGATTGTCACAAAACCTCACAAATCTCTGCCACTGTGACAGTTTTCCAACATACACTGGCATTATCCAGCTCAGCACATGACACAATGGGTTGTAACCAGTGCTTTTCCCCCCTAAAAAAATATGTTTAGGGGTACTCTCATTTTCCTACTCATATTGAAGTACTGCCCCTCAATGAGGCCAAACTTAGATTCACAAAATGTTTGGGGCATGCGTACCCCCTGCGTCCCCCCAGGGGGGAAAAGCACTGGTTGTAACCAATTGTGTCTTGTCTGTCCCCTGTTCCTACCTCACAGAAGATTTTGCAAGTAACATACTGTAAACTGTGTACAGCTGCTGTTTTTTAAAGACTGGTATTTATTTTAAAACTGCAAAGAGTCACCCAAAGGCTGACTACAGACCCAATGCTACCACTACAGTCTCCAGTTTATAGAGATAGCCCAGGTAACCCTCCTAGACATAATTACGATGGGACTTTAAGTGACTGCCTGCTGTTTTGTTTTTTTTAATGGAAAAAGGGTGAAGATGATTCTCACTGATTCCCACCCCCCTCTGTACAAAACCCCACCACATAAACCTGCTCCAGATAGTTACGATACTGCAAGAGGTGGTGCAGACAAATGAAAGAATTCTGAAAACTGCCTCCCTCCTTCTTCCATCCATCATCCATTGGAGAAAATAACCTTCCTGCACAGGTTACAACCCAGATTGCTAAATCGGATCCTCTTCAAGGAGGGTCCTACTTGCGCTCAGGACCTTGGGGCCTCCATGACATCTGGAGGCAGGGCATAGCCCAGTTTTTGCTGGGGTGGTTCCACGATCGCCCCAGTTCCAGCACCCAATCAGGCTGTTGCAAGTTGGGGGACGGGGAGGTTTTTATAAACAGCAGCGCGACACATCGGAGCCACTCGCTTCACGCTGCCAAACACCTGCCCGCCTACCCTCTTTGGTTTCTGTGCTTTGACCTTGCTTGGCACTTCGGTTGGTTGCCTGTTTTGTGGCAGGGGCCTGGTAGGAATTTTGTCCACATGGCAGATTGGCACTGGCCATTTGGTTTTCGCCTACCTCCCGGCAATCATCACAACTTTGTAAGGTTTGGCGGTTAGTTGTGGTTGAGGGAGGGGAGGTACGGCCATCACCTGTCCCTCCTTAAAAAAGGGTTTTCTGTTAAAGGAATCTGGGGGTTCTGGATCTTGTCTGAAGTCCGCTTGAGGGGCTAGGGCCAAGCCAGAACCACAGGAACCCTGGGGTGAGCTACAGCCAATTTGCATTGATGTAGCTCTCTTGTTTGGTTTACCCTTCCAGACCTCCTGCGGGGTGGGTAGGAGTCAGTTTTAGTTTGTCAATGCCTAAGCCAATACCGCTCACACTGTGGAATCAATAAAGTTGTGGCCTAAATTTTGCCCATTAATCTTAAACTAAAAAATTGAGTCTGTGTGAATTTATTTCTAGGGGGTTACCTGAGGTCCTCGAAGTGCAATCCTAAAAAGCATGGCAATCCTGAAATGTTTCTTGCCTTGCTAGAAACACACCCAACCCCTTTGAAGGTGGTGAAGGGCTGCATCAATTTTCCTCTTTAAACATGGAGCTGGCAGCACTTCTTCAGTGCCAATATGGGCGACACTCTAATTCCTCCAGCATAGCAACCCTTGCAGAATATTGTGTGGGATCAAGTGAGGGGGCTGCATATTTATAGGTGTATTTAAAATACAAATGTAATGCTATTCTCTCATGAGGCTTTCGTAGTCTTTTTTGTATCCACACCATGACAGCCAAGCCATATGGCTTATCCTTACCTTGCCTTCCATTATTGTCACCACATCGGGCAAACCACCAAGCACTTTACCACGATCTATAAAGAAAAAGCAATCAAATTATATAATTATCCATGCATTTTGCCAATTGGAGAGTAAGTGCCTATAGGATGATCAAGGTGAGACAAATGCTGAAACGGGGGGGGGGGGGACAGTGTCAGCAGCTACTTCCTGATTTTTAAGGAATATGCAAAATATGAAATGTCTGCAACATTAGCCAGCAAGTGGATACTGAAGATTTTTAAAGGGTACAGCCCGTTCTGTGTTGTCTTCATCCTCAATTTACTTCTTGCTCCCTCAGAGGTTTTCAGTTTAGAAACTCTTAGGCACACCAAACTCTTAAAAAACAAAGACTGGGAGACTATTTAAAAATAGGAGATCAGGAACAGCTAAGCTCTTAGCCGATTGCAATGCAAAGGGGTTTACAGTGGTACCTCGGGTTAAGTACTTAATTCGTTCCGGAAGTCTGTTCTTAACCTGAAACTGTTCTTAACCTGAAGCACCACTTTAGCTAAAGGGGCCTCCTGCTGCTGCCGCTCTGCCGGAGCACAATTTCTGTTCTTATCCTGAAGCAAAGTTCTTAACCTGAAGCACTATTTCTCGGTTAGCAGAGTCTGTAACCTGAAGCGTATGTAACCTGAAGTGTATGTAACCCGAGGTACCACTGTATTGTGATAGCATCATACACTTACTTTTAAACTAACATTTATACATTATGCAATAACAAATGTCTCTGGACAGCTTACAGCAACTTGAATTACCGTAATTTTTGGTGAAACATTAAGTAGTGCATGATTCCCAGCATCTCTAGGTAGGGCTGGGTGAGACTCCTTCCTGAAATGCTGGACAGCTCCTGATGCATTTCAGTGTCAACAATACTAAGATAGATTGTTCATTGGACTGACTATGCATAAGACAGCTTCCTATGCTCCCATAATCAGTATCCCCAGTTTTCTCCAAGTAATGCTCAGTTCAAATTGCAACACATCTGGACACTTTGAAAATGGAAACATCCAGTTTCTTCTGGCTCAACAGCACCAGGTGAGACTCTGCTAATATATACAGAGTTGGCCTAAAGATTTTGCTTTTGCTTTTTCTGTAGATCAAGATGAATTTAAAAGCGTGCCCACACAACCCATGTTTTATCTTATACTGAGCAGCATAATAATAATAATACATACAATTATTAAGAGTTGACTAAGATATTATTTTCCTAGTTTCAGTTTTACACTTCATTCTAATTTTTACCTATCCTGTTATTGTAACTGCACAATTTAGCTGGGCTCCGCATTCAGGGGCATTATCATAAATTAGAGTCCCCATTTCACCTGTAAGCAGGGGCTGAAAAGGTGGGTGAATCTAAAAAGGCAGGCAGTTGCTCTTTCTGCAGGGCGTTTAAATAACTGAAGCAGACACCCCAAATGTTATCAGCCCAGGAGATTGCCTAGTTTGCATCTACGGATTTGGCAGGCTCTGCATATACAACCGAGAAAAACATTAGCTGACCATTTTCAGGTAAAATGATTGTCCTGGGAAATGGGAAATGACTAGCGTCTGTCATCATAATGGTACAGAAATCATAGTGAAATGTGATGAAATAAGACACCTCCCTGGAAGCTATGATTTTAGGCTAAAAGTGGAAGTATATTACAGGCAAGTAATAAATAAGCATGCTTAGGGTCAGAGTACCTGACTGATTATCCATGCTGGTGAATAACGGGCAGCCCTTATGTATACTATCTATCACTCAGATTTCTTGCCATCATCAACATGAAATCTGTCATACTTGGTTTCCAGTCTGCATTGCATATAGTCACCCGTAGTCTGTTCTCACTGTCAGCTCTGAAACCTAACTAACAATAGTTTCTTAAGCTGAGAGGTTTAGGCTGGACACCCATTCTCTCCCACTTTTCTATTCCCACCTGCCAACTCGCTTTCCAAGAATAAACAAACACAGGTTCTCCAGCTAAGACAGACTTGCTTGACAACCCTACCCTCCCCCAACAGAGAGCAAAAGCAGGAGGTTTATCAAGTCTTAGCGGGGGGGGGGGGTCATCAGACATTTATTGTGGACTGTGCTAAGGTTGGTGGGTTACAAGTTTTCCACATCTTCTCTAAAATGGCAACTATCAATTTGGTTTGAAAGTGCACCTTCCTCTTAAAATGAACTGATAGAAAGCACTGTTATATATACCTTATTCCAGGCTTCCTCAAGGCCCTCCAAATGTTTTGAGACTACAATTCCCATCATCCCTGACCACTGGTCCTGCTAGCTGGGAATCATGGGAGTTTTAGGCCAAAGACATCTGGAGGGCCGAGGTTGAGGAAGCCTGCCTTATTCCTTCACTTTTGTTGAACTTTGTAAGGTAAATAAAAGGAACAAGGTCTACCTAGCATTCACTAGGCTGCTAGATCCTGCTCTTTTATGATGATAATAAATAACATGCTTCCTCTGTACAGAATGTACTTACTCTTCTCAGCAAAAGCAGCTGCCCTAAAGTGGGGAAAGAAAACAGAAAACAGAATAATTAATATCACAATTATGCATATGTATATATACACAAGGGACGTGGGTGGCGCTGTGGGTTAAACCACAGAGCCGAGGACTTGCCGATCAGAAGGTCGGCGGTTCAAATCCCCGCAATGGGGTGAGCTCCCGTTGCTCGGTCCCTGCTCCTGCCAACCTAGCAGTTCGAAAGCACGTCAAAGTGCAAGTAGATAAATAGGTACCACTCCAGCGGGAAGGTAAACGGCATTTCCGTGAGCTGCTCTGGTTCGCCAGAAGCAGCTTAATCATGCTGGCCACATGACCCGGAAGCTGTACGACGGCTCCCTCGGCCAATAAAGCGAGATGAGCACCGCAACCCCAGAGTTGGCCACGACTGGACCTAATGGTCAGGGGTTCCTTTACCTTTTATATATACACAAACATTACTCTCCCACCTTTGGAAGAGTTCAAGGTGCTGTACATGGCTTTTCGTAGTCTCCCTTATATCCCCACAACAGCCCTGTGAAGTGGTATGGACTCGCTCAGGAGGCGGTGGACTCTCCTTCCTTGGAGATTTGTAAGCAGAGTTTGGATGGATATCTGCTGTGGATGCTGTAGCTGAAATATCTGCATTGTAGGGGATTGGACTACAATTCTATGATTCTAAGTAGGTTAAGCTGAGAAATGGTGACTGGTCCAAAGTCACCCGGTGAGCTTCATGACTGAGTGGAGTTTTGAGCCCTGGTCTCCTTGATAATTGAGTCCAACACTCTAATCATTATGTCACATGGGCTCTCCATAGAAATAGGGTGTAAGAAACATCTTATACCCTATTATGTTAGAATGACACTGGTAGCCAAGACAAAGTAATTGTCATGAGTTTAAAGGAAAACGGTATAAAGCTTACTTGAGTCTCTGGAATTCTGCATAAGCATCGTCAAACGCTGCAAAGAAACATTTTTGAGTATTATAAAGTTTGCCTTTTGAATTGGCACAAATGCTTTGATGCCTACTTGTGTTTCTTTTCTGTTCTCAACTTATAAAAGTGGTAGAGAAACATCAAATGAAATCTAAGAAGAGAGATCAAAGGCAGCCCTGATGAGAAGAGGCATAGCATGAACGAAGTTGGTAGTGTGCCTTGAAAACTGTTAGCACAAAATAAATACCTAATAATAAACAATGAACATTAATTCCCCAACTGCAAAATGGTCCCAAATTACAGTGCGATGAATCCAGTTGCCTGCTTAAAGATGCCTACCTTGTCCAGATAAATCAATACTCCGCTTATAGGACTCCTTGCCATCAGAGAGCTCAAAGGTGTACTTCCCTTTATCCTTTTCTGTGGGCTCACATATCTGCATCCAGGCAATTTCATCACTGCCTCCAATCCTCATCTTTTCACTAGAAGAAATCTTAGATTCCCTGGGGAAATGAACACAGGGAGTCTTCAAAATACACACAGAGAGAGTTTTGAGGTGAGAGCATAATAAAGCAACATATCGGCTATTTTCCAAGGACCCTTACAACTAGTTTCAAACACCTACAGTAGGTGGACTTTGGGCTTCTGTTTCTTGAGCAACAGTTTCTCTTGCTCTGTGACAAAGCCTTTTGAGGCCAGGAGAATTTTCAGAAGCAAGCTGAAACATGGCGTACGGAGGGATCAATAACAAATGTTCAAAGGGGGGAAAGCAATACAATTTTTTGCTGGCCATGCTAGCCCTTGGATTGGGTATGCCTTGGTTTAGCCATCAGACTGAAGGTTATAAAAGTAAGCATACTTGTAAGCTTGTTGACCAAGGGTTAGCGGGAGAGAAACGTGTTTTCTCATTCAATGGATTCATAATCAGCGCCAGCTTCAAGAAATGCAAGACGGAATTTACAGGCTAACCTAAGCACTATCAGTTTCCTTGACATAAAATCATGCTCTGGGTCTAGAAGCCAGAGGACAATTCTGGGGTTAATTTCATCACATCTGGGAGATTCATTTTTGGATGTTCTAGCCTCCACCTTTGTTTGGTTTGTTTTCTTCAAAGCCTATGACTCCTTCCTATTTCATTTTGAATTTATTTTATACTTATTTTTAGTCTATTCATATTTCAATTTAATAATCTACATGAAGCTTGAAGGAATTCTTTTTTTTTTAAGGAAGAACATCTGTCACCCAGAGAGGGTTCTATTACTTCTGCTATTTATCATTTATAGTGCTTTCAAGATGTGCATTGCATTTTCAGAGTGAAATAAGAGACATATGCAAAGAGACAGGACGGGGATGAATGCCAGCAAGGGGAAGGGGAAAGACAAGGAGAAAGACAAGCAAAAGCAGATTACATCAGCCAAGGGTTTGTGAACAGCTCATTGGTGCAGCTCACTTTTGGCTTTGTGGGCAAAAGGTACCAGGTTCAATCAATCTCAGGTCAGGCTGAGAAAGACTCCACTTTTTAAATCCTGGAGAGCCACCGGCCATTAGTGCAAAGACAAGAACAACCTGGAGGGTCACGACTCAGTGTATGTCAGTCCTATGTTCATGTTTGAAAGATGGGCTTTCGGGCACACAGGGCAGCATGGAAAAAAGCACAACGGACCTTGCTAGAAGTGTACAACCTGAATAAAATTCTAAACTTCAACCTGAGATGTTCGAGGCTGTGCCACTGGTAAGATTTCGTTATTTGCCTGGGTCGCTGCTGCATTTTGATTTTTAAATGTGCAGTCTGTATTTTATATGCTTGACATTCTAGGACCAAGCAACGGATGATACTACTGAGTGAGGGATAGGGAAAATGTAAAGGAAAACACTTGGCCGTTTGTGTACAACCTCTACTACACATGATTAGGTTTCCTGGGATTCTGATTTTAGCCTGTAAATAGGAATATCAAGTTCTGGATATTTTGCTCCATCATTAGGAAGGTGGGGAGACATTTGCTCCCCTACAAGCTTAAGAGTGTTTAGTAGTAATAATAATAATAATTTATTATTTATACCCCGCCCATCTGACTGGTTTCTCCAGCCACTCTGGGTGGCTTCCAATAAAACACTAAAATACAATAACCTATTAAACCTTAAAAGCTTCCCTAAGCAGGGTTGCCTTCAGATGTCTTCTAAAAGTTTGGTAGTTATTTTTCTCTTTGACATCTGGTGGGAGGGCGTTCCACAGGGCGGGTGCCACTACCGAGAAGGCCCTCTGCCTGGTTCCCTGTAACTTGGCTTCTCGCAGCGAGGGAACCGCCAGAAGACCCTCAGTGCTGGACCTCAGTGTCCATTTCCCAAATTTCCTCACCTGTTGAGGTTAGGCAGGTAGCAACTGCAGGACTCTACCCTCATACTGCGGGTTCAAATTCAATTATGTATTTTCTGTGGTGGCACCTTATTTGTAGAGTTCTCCCAAACCCCACCTATACAACCAGGTAAGTGTTGATTTATTTGCTCAGGCATTATAGTTCAACATATGTTGTTATCACTTCAGATTGAAACACAATCAGACTGCTTTTGTTGTTGCTATGCTGTCTTATTTAGCCCTCTTGTTGTTTGGTTTTATCTCACTAGTTTATCTTATAAGCAATTTTTACAGCTTTTTTTTTTCTTTTTAGTCATAAGCAGTTTAAAAAATAATAATTGATAAGGTCGGATACTAAACAAATGACTTATATGTGCTGCAGCCTTTTGGTTCTTTAGAGCTGTTGGTGATCCTGACCAAAGGAATAGAAACTAACAATTCAGGGTGAGCACAGACGTATTGGTTTGCAAACAATCATTGGCTCACAGGCGCATTGGAAATCTAATCTAGGCTTTGAAACGATGCATCCAGTGCTCAGATTTTTATTTTTTAATCCAGCTATTTCCATCCAGAAAATGACTAGACCTCAGTGGCTAAAATATTGATACCTCCAACTTAGGTTCTCATCGATCAGCTAAAAAACCCCAAGTCCAAACAGAAATGATTTGGCCTAATGATGACGAAGGCCTAATACGAAAAGATTGAAATATCATTACTTAGCTTTTGCTTTGCTATCCTAGATTCAGCTCACTCGACCAAGCAAGTCTCTAGATGGGAATTCAGATTCCCTGCAGTGCAATGAGTGGATGATTGCATGCTGGCTTTACGATTTGTTTTATGCTCCCTGCGATGCAAAGTGTTGGGATGATTCAGGGCGGGCTGAGGATTTCCATGCAATGCTGCCAGCTGTGCTGATGACAGCATGGAAACCAAAAATTGTCTCATTTCTTATGAAAAGGTTGTCGCCTGAATTTTTCATTTTTCTACTTTTTTTTAAAAAAAAAGAAGGAACACTGAAGATTCGCATCTCTCCACCCCACCCCCAATATTAGTATCAATATCAAAATGTTAATTTGTTTAGTCTCTGAATACCAGGCAAAAATCACCCAGTACAGTCATACCTCAGCTCCCAAACACCTTGGGAGTAAAACATTCCGGCTCCCGAGCGACTGGAAACTGGAAGTGAGTATTCCGGTTTTTGAACTTTTTTTGGAAGCTGAATGTCTGACGCAGCTTCCACTAGAAAGGACCCTTCCATGGCCTAGGACCCTCGTACCTACGGGACCGCCTCTCCCGGTATGCCCCACGGAGAGCCTCAAGGTCCATAAATAGCAACACCCTAGTGGTCCCGGGCCCTAAGGAAGTTAGATTAGCCTCAACCAGGGCCAGGGCCTTTTCAACACTGGCTCTGGACTGGTGGAACGCTCTGTCTCATGAGACCAGGGCCCTGCAGGATCTGATTTCTTTCCGCAGGGCCTTTAAGACAGAGTTGTTCTGCCTGGCCTTTGGCTTGGAGCCAATTTGATTCCCTCCCCCTCTTTCTTTTTCCTTTTTCCTTTCTCCTCCTGTGATGAGGCTGCATTTTAATATTTTAATGTTTCAATATTTTAATGTTGTATTTTAATCTTGTTCTTAAGTTGTATTCATTCAACTTGTTTTTATTATTGCTTGTTAGCCGCCCTGAGAACGGCCTTGGCTGGGGAGGGCGGGGTATAAAAATTGTTGTTGTTGTTGTTGTTGTTGTTTCCAGCACACCTGTGCAATCCGGAACCAATTGGAAGCCGCCCCTTGGTTTCTGAACTTTTCGGAAGCCGAACGGACTTCCAGAATGGATTCCGTTCCACTTCCAAGGTACATCTGTATTCAGGGCTTGGCTGTTACTTACTTGTGAAGCCAACTTGCTTTCATTTCCTCTGTGTAGTACTTCAAGAAACACTGTAGTCTTATGCCTTCTGGAGTACAGTGGATCTTCAGTTCAGAAGCAGATTTACCTACAGGGATAAAGCATTATTCAGATCCAGTGTTGGGTTTTAGAATTGTTTTTTAAAAAAATTCTCACGTGTTTAATTAGACATTAAAAAACCATACTCACAATACATTAAAAAATTGCTATTACTATTATGTCATCTATGTATGTTGTTTTGTTGTATGAAATGCCAGAAATCTGGAGATTGTTGACATTTACTGAAAAGTCTTAAAAGGCCCGAAGGAAATGCCAGAAATTCTGACCTACCAATAAATCTCAAAGTCAGGTCAGTGCCCTCAGTAAATGACCAAGTATTACCCACATTTCCAAAATTAACATGATTAAGCATGGTGAAGTGTCAAAAACAAGTCTCTGAACTCAAACATTTCCATCATTCTTAGAATTTACCAATAAATATCAACATTCACTAAGTTTCTGATGCTTACTCTGTAAACCATAATTTTCCTCATGCTGTAATATTTCAGCCCAAAGTGCAATATTTATATTAATATATTCAATATATTACAGAATTCAATGTGATTTAGATTTTAATGATGAAATTTTAAAAAAATTCTTCTGAGTTGGATCATACTGTGACCATAAACACACTTATAGACACTTATAGACACACTTATAGAGTAACTTCTTATCACAAAGCTAACAAACTGCATTGCCCAAAACCTCTTCGATAAACGACACAAAAACAAGCATGTGGTAAAAAAAAAATGCCTTCCTGTTTAATAATGTCTATTAAAGTCAAAAACCGATTCAGAATGTTAACTACACCTTAGAAGGGGATAAGGCTCCTTTGAGATTTCCTGCTTTCAGTGACAACAGGTTATCTCAGTTTCTGAAAATTTTAATATATTTTTGAAATGAAGTGGAAATAACATTTACTCACCACTGATTCGACTCAATCCCAGGATCATATCTTCATATACTGAGGAGAGGAAGGGGGAAACAACAGATTGTTAGCATGGGAAATACAGGTATGTAGTATTCACATGAGAAAGCTTTACACAGATAAACAATGATACTGTGATAATTATTTCAGAAGGGCTTGTGCTTGGTTATTTTGACTTTATGTTCTTGCATTTAACAATCTTGGTCTCCATATCGCTGCACACATAGCTTTGGCTAAGTCCAAATTAGACCAGTTCAGTGGGCCAACCTGCCAAATATCCCTCAGTTGTCCTCATGAGCTGGAATCTCGCAACCAGTTTCAGAGCTGATGGGGACAACCTCTGTGTATTTGGCAGGCTGTCCAGAAAGAGCCTTCAGGAGGGGTCAGCAATGGAGTGCAGGTCAAACATGCCCAGCCCCAAACTCCACCCTCATGCAGATGTTGCCAGATGTTTGAGGGCACCTAAAGTAGGCTTCTGTAAACAGCTCAAACAGCCACCTCATGTGGCTATTTTTTGAGTGTTTTCCTGAGGGAGGAACTGACATTAATTAAAGGACAATATGTGCATGTATTTGGCAGTAGAAAATAAATAAATCTGAGGGAATGAGTTACTCCAAGAATCATACAGCAGCAATCAGAGGTTTGTGAGACTTGAGCTGTATGAGATGAGGTGGATGACCTGCATGACCTTAGAAGGAGCAGAAAATATGCAGTTATAAATGTTTCAGAACTTCTCACAACTTCCATGCCAGAGGAGCTTCCATCCCAGAGGTGATGTAGTTATTTCCTTTATTCCCTGTGGTTTGGAATAACAAATAACCATGCATGACCAATGCAGGGGAAAATAGAGCTTTACCTTGTCCTGATACATCAATAGTAGACATATCTTGACCTCGGTCATCTGACAGTGTTGCCTTATATTCACCCTGGTCCTTTTTAGACAGCTAGAAATAAAATACGAGACAGGGATTGTGTGACTTATATTAATGAAAGTCACTTAAATACTTGCTGCATTTTCTATATCAGAAAGGAAATCTACTTTGAACTTTGTCTGAACAGAAATGACGTGAGAGGCAGATGCAGTGAGAGCATCGTTAATGAGATAATTATCGCATTAATACTTTTGCATGTACTGCTTAATTAATTAAGCTGCCTACCAAGCTTAACATCATTTTCAGTCCAGTACAAACCAATGTAAGGTTAAAGGAAGTATTCATTTTGACAGAAAGAGATGAAGCAAGTTGGTTTAACATACTACCATATAGGTGATTAAAGATTGCCTTCTCACTTTTGGTTTATATCTATGTGAGATACAGTCAAAACCAAATACATTTAGGCAGTGGTGACTACCTTGAAAATATGCAACAGAGACCGCACCACAGGCACAGCTACTTGGGAGTAAATCTCATGGAAATCAACGAGATGTGCAGCAAAATCCTTTGCATGTTTACTCAGAAGTAAGTCCCTCTGTGTCCAGTGAGCTTTACTCCTAGATACATGGAATTGCAGCATTACTTCTGATTAAATATGGGGCATGATGTAGTCAAACAAAACATTCTTCAAGTCCATTGATTTCAGTGAAAGAGAGTATTTGAATAATAATAACCTGCACAAAGCTAAATTTCCCTCGCTAGCAGGAAACACAAATAAAAAGCACACACAAGAATGGGAGTTCCCATTGTTGGAGCAGCCAGCAAGTAGAAACCTCAATAATCTTGAACTTAGGAAGGAGGAATCTATTAAATGCATCACCCAGAAATCATTGCACCATACCTTTGGAATAGTCAAACAGACAACCTCTTTCTGCAGGTCAGGCACCTCTTCAACATCAAATCCAGCAGCATCTTTGTACCACTTGAAAAAGGTCTCTTTCTTGGTATTTGCCACCTAAACAAGGACAACAAAATCAATGAAGTATAATATGCTGCTAACAAGCTGTGCCTTGATGGTTTGTTTGGCTCACCAGTCACAACATTTTTGAAGGTCCACCTGCCCTCATATTAGTCTGCCCAAGCATTAAGATCTTCTTTGAAGGCCCTGCCCACATTTTGAGGTGCAAAATGGAGAAAGGCTTCATCCGTGGTGGCCCCTGTTTTGGAATGCAATTTGATTAATCAGGGGTGCATACTTAACAGCTTCCATTATGTTCTCTCTATTCACTGGATTTTGATCTTCATGTTGTTTTAAAATATTGCTAGCTGCCTCAACAGAAGATCCACATAAATATTCCAATAATTACAGACGCATCTCATAATGTGGCACTTAGTTTCTACTGGAACCGATCAGAAAGAGTAGCAAAGCATTTGGAGTGACTTAAGACTATGATTTGGACTGTGATTTGTACTTGAGACTAGTATTTGGAAACAACGTATTTTGAAATCAATGGGATTGCATGCCGTTTCACATGATAGCAGTTGGGGAAAACAGCTACCCACATGGTAGGCCAGAGATCACAGGGTGCTACTTGCACTGAGCCAATGGTCTATCTGACTGCACACTGGTTCTCCAGAGGTTCAGACAAGAGTCTTCCCCAACCCTACCTGCCTGGAGATGCCAGGAATTGACCCTGGGACCTTTTGCATACACAAAGCATGTGCTTAACTGCTGAACTTCAGGTCTTCTGCTTTTTTCAGATATCTTCTGGGCTGCAACTTTCTGTGTTTTCTGAAGGAAACCAGGATCCATCACAAATAAGTATTCAGTACTTTTTTGGATCTGTTGCCAAAGTGCCTGTGGGAGCTGCTACCCGAATTGGTTCATCTGGACTCATAAAGAAACCAGTGTTGCAATTTGGCCAAACGTTTCACTCTTGGCGACCAATGACTGTGCTGGAGCTGGGTTGAAGGTCTTCTTCTACAGCATGGAGTGCCCTGCGGGAGGCAGGAGCACAAGGAAGCTTCCTGAAGGCAGCCCTTTTGAAGTGCTAGTGGAAATTCAGCTCAGCAGAATGGCGAGAGAGAAACAGTGTGTTGTTTTATGCTTGGAATATAGCTGTGTATTGGCTGACATGAAATATTGCTGGATGAGCGAGTTTAAACGGTAACTTGAAAGAAGCAATTTTAGAAAGAGGTTTTTTCAAAAAAAAGAACAGAAGATGATTACTTTTCAGAGACACTGTTCTGTGCTGCTGAACAGGTCTGTCCATCATGGAGCCACTGTTGCTTCTGTAGCTGTAGTTTTTGTCACATTCGTCTAACAAGGATCACAGCAATACCAAAACTAAAAGCAGATATGGCAAAATTAGGTTTCCTGGCCCATAATGATTTTAGCAATGTGCCTGTGGAGTCTCTGGAAGAAATGCACACAGAGGCAAACTACTCTCCACGTGGAGTCCAAAAATAGCAAACAGTGAAATATAAACTACATTTGAAATTGAGCGAATATCCCAAAGCAATTTGTAGCAGGGCATGGAGTTGTACTAGTAAAAGAAGAGAAGTCAGAAATCACAGTAGCACTCAGGATTTTTGTATCTCAGGCACTGTAAGATTTATAAAGATGTTGGTTCCTTAATATGGTTTGGTACAGAACCCCTCTCCTGTCAGTCACTAAATGGCTGTTCTGATGAATGAATGGATCCTGTTTCGGAGTTATACCACCATTCTAGGTTTGGGTTGGACAGGAGAGGGTTAACAGGGCTGGAATGAGTGCAAAAGTTATTTGCTAGTCCCATGGCAGATGCTTTTTCGTTAAGGGAACTGTCAGTGATGTGTTTCCCTGGGAACTACCGGTAATTGTTAGTCTTCTTCTAAACAGGACAAAAGCAGGCCTCTCACCATGCAGCAAAAGATGGTGTAACCTAGGTGTCTGTATGTAATAATAAACAATAGATTGCAGTTTGAACCAGAGAAGAAACAGCATCCAAAGAGAAAAATTGAAAGCTGAGTTTCGGCTCTGTGAACTAGCAACATTTGAGAGTGCTGACTCTTTCTCTAGAAATCTGAGCGCAGTTGGCTGTTTTGAGTGTGCCTCCACTGTGCCTCGACCTATGTGCAACCTGAAGACTTGTAACTAAACACAAATACTACAAAACACCAAAAGCCTTCAGTGATTTCGTTTCCAAAGAAACTGAACCTAAGTAAGCATGATGACCCTTCCACTCCTTACCACTTGGTGAGACACCATGTTTCTGAGATTAACTCAGGGGTAGGGGGACAAAAGCAATAGCTGGGGAATGGGGTACTGGCAAAAGTTGAGCCACAGGCATTATATGTCACTCATTGTTCTACACAAGACACAGAGAATGTACCTAAGCTCCGTGCCACAAATGATCAAAAGCCAGTGGTGAATGGCTTGGTTGTCAATGAGGAACTCAGCTTCACTGCATTTTGGGTACACCCTCCCCCCCCCAGCACACTGACTCCAGAAAATCCCCATGATTCAAAATTGTTGCTTGAATTTGTTGGCCTCGGTTTAGATTGATCTATGAGGGACTTGCGCTGACTGTAGATAGTAAGAGAATGGAAACAAATATCTTTCTCTTTCTGCCTGGCCTTCGGCTGAACTGTACCACCTTGAACACATCCCAATTCTGCATCCTTGCAACCCCAAGACACTGAGGCACTGGTGCCACCAGTGGCTATATTAGCAGTCATTGGCTTCATGGTCAGAGCCTTCTATCTCTTCATGTGCACATAGTACTCTATTTACATGCCCTAAGCTTTTGTACTGCAACTGCTTGCAGTTATGCCCCATGAGGAAGGGTGCCATTTTATTAAAAGGTAACAAAATATGATGGCTCACCTTACAGAGCAGCAGCACTTCGCATTCTTCTGAAATTTCCCAATACAAAAACTCCAGAAAATGAGGACCTTAAAAAAAGATAAACATATCATATACTGTTGCTTCTATTGTTTTAGAGAAGGAACAAACTTGGAGAGAAACACAGAACAGGAACTAAATCACATGACAAGCAGTTGTCTCTGGGAGACCTTTACCCTTTTGGTCAGTGCACCAATACAAAGATAGTCATGTAAGGTGAGAGAGATGCTCAAGTCCAAAGAAGATCTGTGAGTACAGCTAAGTGGCCCTGCTGCACTTATGAGCACGATTGTGGGATTTGCGATGGCTCTGTGCTGCTCATATACAAGTTGGCAAATGTGTTTACCAACATATAATGAATGCAAAGCAGGAACAAGGCTCTGTAATATCAATTTATGGTTTGCATAAGTAGTTAGGATGGCGCCCACGTTTTGAGTGTCTGCCACTTGATTGTTGCAGCACCAATAGGCAACGTCAGCAAACCTCATTATTGGAGCGCTCATATCTAATTCCCTCAAAAGCTATGCTTTTCAACAGACTCACCCGGCACATTCAGCAGAAAATCATTAAGTGCTGAGCAATCAAGGTTTACGAAAACAAGTAATGTACGTCTATGTCTGATAGTAGCTACTCCGGACAAGTGAGGTAAAGAGGCTCGAAGGAGGAGTTCAACAAATGAATGTGCATATGTTCACCTCCTTTCATGTTTAGAACTGGACCCAAGCCTTATGGTCGTGCATGAATAAGTATATTATAATGGAACCAAGAGGGGGAGTGGAAGGTAATCGACCAAAAAAAATTATTGTTTAATCTAGTTATGATTTTTTTTTCCCTGTGCAGTGGTACCTCAGGTTAAGAATTTAATTCATTCTGGAGGTCCGTTCTCAACCTGAAACAGTTCTTAACCTGAGGTACCACTTTAGCTAATGGGGCCGCCTGCTGCCACCGCACGATTTCTGTTCTCATCCTGAAGCAAAGTTCTTAACCCAAAGTACTATTTCTGGCTTAGCGGAGTCTGTAACCTGAAGCATCTGTAAGCCAAGGTACCACTGTATTTATTTATTTTTGTCATTTTTGGAAATGTTTACACACACACACACACACACACACACACAGAACTGGACCCAAGCCTGCTCTGAACTTCATCCTGGCACCATTCCTCCCTTCCGTGGGCAACAAGCTATGTTTTGCCCCATGAGGAGAAATGGGAAGTGCTGCTTTGCCCTGCCACCCACTGCTGCTGCCGCCGCCCACTCCACCACTGCCATCTGCTCTGCCACTTCCACCACTGGTGGAGAAGCATGATCATCATCAGCACCAATTTCAGGTGAGATCTCACCCAAAACTGACATGATCTTGTCCCAAGCCGGCATCAGTGGTGGCGGCGCTTCTCTGTTGCTGGCAGATGCAATGGGGCAGCAAGGTTTCTGTGGGGGTGCCATGTGGGTGACTTCTACCACTTGAGACAATGGCCTCACCCTGTCTAATGCCTGGGTCAGCTCTGCTCCCTCCCATTCACTGTCACAGTCATCATCTTCCATTTCTCATCTATCAGGCCGAAGCAATGGAAAAACCTCTCCTGTCGGATCTCCTTTGGGCTGAAGAAAATTGCCTTAGCAGCCCCCAAACACCCTGGTTCCTTGACACTATTACCCTAAAGAGGAAAGTACAAAATTGCTTTGGAAAGAAAACTCCAAATCTATTGCACCTCGATTATGTATACTGCAAGCTAATCTTTAGGGTTTTTACAGGGGGGGGGAGTACATTCCAACTATCTTGGAAGCAGGGCATGGTGACGTTGTGCGTGATAACAGTCTGCATGGAAACAAAATTACAGCTGCACAAAGTACTGTATTAGCATTTTTGGCATCCAGTGATGTCAGCGAGAATTAAGTGAGAACAGTGGCGTAGCGTGGGGGGTGCAGGGGGGGCCAGCCGCACCGGGCGCAACATCCGGGGGGGCGCTCACCACCTCCGGAGTCGCCGAAGAGCCTCGGGCGCAGGCTGTAGCAGAGCCCCATGTCTCGCGGAACCGACGAGCTGGCAGCGGCTCTCAGCGCTCACCACGGTCCCCGCGCGTCAGGGCCGCAGAGGGCGCGCCAGACAGCCCCTCCTCACAGCCCCACCGCTGCTGCTGCAGCTGCTGGGCCATGTTGCATTTTCCTCGCCTCTCTGCCCTCCTCCTCCTCCGGGCAAGCGGCGTCGTTTGGGCGGCAGCGCCAGCGGCAACTCACCTCAGATCACCTGACACGGACCCCCCGCCGCCGCCGTGACTACCTTACCGTAAATACCCCAGCCCAGGCAGCAGCAAGAAGAAGCTGGCAGCGGCGGCAGGTTAGGGGTTAGGGGGCGCAAATTACTTGCCTTGCCCCGGGTTAGGGGGCGCAAATTACTTGCCTTGCCCCGGGTGCTGACAACCCACGCTACGCCGCTGAGTGAGAACATTGTTCTCAGGGAATGTTCCCTTCCATCACACAAGAAAAACAAAGCTTGCCTAATTGTTCCCACCTTACCTTGTTTCCTCAGGAACTCCCTTCTCTGGAACTCGGCTTCAGCCAATACATCCTTGAACGCTAAAGAAATAAAAATAAAAAATAGGTGAGAGAAAACAGAGTGAGTTGCTTACTTGCTAGGGTATTCAGAAATGCTTAAATTCCATTGTAACCCAGCCTTCCCCAATCTGGTGAGCGGTTGGATTAGATCACAGATGGAGAAACTCTAACCACTCAGATATTGTTGGACACCAGCTCCCATCAGCCTCAGCCAGCATGGGCAGTGATTAGGGGTGATGGGAATTGTAGCCCAAAATGTCTGGCGAGCACCAGGTTTGGGAAGGCCGCTGTAAGCGAAGGCACATCGGTCGGGGAACCTACCATCACCAATAAGAACTAATGAAGATTGGTTCTTGGCTTTCCCATCGTGAATCTGCACTGTGTAGGTTCCTTCGTTTTCAATAGTGAAGCGGTCCATAAGCATCTCAATGATACCAGTCGAATGGTCACATTTGATCTTATGCGTCTGAAAACAAGGCAGGTCAAAGAGATTATCTACAGGGATTATGAGGCTGGGCTGGAAGGGGAGAGGTGGGTGAGGCAACAGGGCTGCTCTGCCCGGTTCTCCCTGCAAAATGGGCCTGCTGCCAAATGTTTGGGAAGTGGAAAGGTGTTCCAGGGGCCGGGAAGGGTCAGGGTGGAGCCAGCCTGGGATTTGCTGGATCCCCAGTTGGTCTCACTGCCATTGTACATGAATATAATTGGCCGAAGGGTTTTATTTCCACATAAGGACAACGGGAAGCTTAAAAGGCAATACAAAATAAAAGTAAATCATTGCTCTAGAAGGCATAAGAATATCAAGGGGAAAGACTCCTCTCTCTGCTGTATCTTTCCACAACTGGGTTTCTCCAGTATTGTGTCTTGAAAGCTTTGGTTGCTTCAGAAAACTGGCTCTTTTCATTCTAAATGGTGGCTGATCATCAACATCCTCAAAGTCATTTGTATGGTGCTTTAAAGTGTTCAAAGTTCTGTTTATGGGTTGGTTATTTGAGGTTGTGTGTTTAGGTTTATATAATAGTTTGAAGAAATCATACACACACACACACACACACACACACACACACACACACATATATATATATATATATATATATATATATATATATATATATATATATTGACTTTACAGTACAACTGTATGTTGCCTTAGAAGTTAATTTCATTGCATTTCCTGGGCTTATTCCCAATTAAGATTTAGGACTCAGCTACATTAGTCAAAAAACAGTGTTTTGGATGCATTAAAAACATGCAACTCCAGATGGCGCTGTAGAGCACAAAACATTTCTATGCAATTTTACATAGCTTTTTTTCTCTTTTATTATAACAATTTAATTTGTGACTTATTTATAGTGGGGGTTTTCCTCTGTGTAGATCCACCCTTATTCCCAGTTATAGCTTGTTCCTAGTTCTACAGTCATAGGAATGTAGGCTTACATAGGATTTTATCACTTTTTCTCTCTCTCTGAAGGGCTAGGCAATATGAAATGCTAGTCTTCTTTCCATCAATTTGTGGGGGGCACCACTTTTTTGCGGCTTTCCACAATCCGTATTGAACATCTTCTATACAAGCTCCATAGGGATTGATACAAAGCATTCAAGAGCACAGATACACATCTTTTAATATTAATGTACCTTTTGAAGGCAGTGCGCCTGCTGATTCTACCATATTCTGCTCCCACAACCAAAGGGGCGAAAACCAAAAATTTACATTTGCAATAGATCGATATTCAAAACAGAAAACTTAACTGTGTTTCCACTAGACAAAAGGAAACAAAGATTCAACCTTTTTTCTTTATACTTCATTGGAATATATCTATTATTCCCCTTTTAAAATCTACAGGGTGTGGGATTAAAACTGCCGCCTAGAAGAGCTAATGAATTTAGCCTCTTTTTTATGTTCCTTCATTTCAAAAAATAAAATCCTTCGAAAGAAAGGCCAAAGGAAGTTGTTCCAATTAGAGCCTCATCGGAAATTATCTATTTTCGGCCAGTGTCAAGAACAAAACTATATTCCTGCTAGTATGATGGTCTATTGAACATGATCAGCAGCTGCAGTGACTGTCTCTGGGCAGGTTTTAGAATATAATTAGGTTTCTAGCTATTGCCATTATGCAGTGAGATGAAGTTCAATGGTTTTATGGCAGTCATAAATACGAGGCTTTTATGTGAATTTCCACAAAAATATCATCAATCTCCAAATGCAAACGTCACCTGTGGCTTGCTAATTAAAGAGGTGAAATAATACTACTGTTCCAAAAAAAGAGAAAAAAGTAGCTCTGATGCCAGTGCTTTCGTAGCATTGCTAAAAATACAAAAGGCAGGGAAGGAGGGAGAGATGACGCAGGTCTGGAAATAGCCAAAAGGAGAAGAGGGGGAAATGGCGCGGGAGGAAGAGGAGGGGGGGGGAGAAGTAATAGTCCCTGAAAATTACTGCTAAATAAGGAAGCAAAAAGTAGGCAAAATATAATATTCTAAATAAAGAACATTTCCCATTTAGAACTGTCTATATAAAAACTAAAAGGGACGTGGGTGGCGCTGTGGGTTAAACCACAGAGCCTAGGACCTGCCGATCAGAAGGTCGGCAGTTCGAATCCCTGCAACGGGGTGAGCTCCCGTTGCTCGGGCCCTATTCCTGCCCACCTAGCAGTCCGAAAGCACGTCAAAGTGCAAGTAGATAAATAGGTGCTACTCCGGCGAGAAAGTAAACGGTGTTTCTGTGCACTGCTCTGATTCGCCAGAGTGGCTTAGTCATGCTGGCCACATGACCCGGAAGCTGTACGCCAGCTCCCTTGACCAATAAAGCGAGATGAGCGCTGCAACCCCAGAGTCGGCCACGACTGGACCTAATGGTCAGGGGTCCCTTTACCTTATATATAAACTAGTTAAACCTCCTAAAGAGTTTACAAAAAATGGAAAGAGTTCACATAATTGCTGTCTATTGCATAAAGCCTTGGAATGCTTTTTATGTTAGTTGCACCATAAAACCGCCCCGGCGCAGATGAATAGAGAGGAGGTGTGTTTCTCTGTGTGTGTTTTAATATGCTCCTACTACTGTGACTACAACTACAAATCTGTTCAGTTTCAATGGTGTATTGGACGCTGTACACCACAGAAATGGTGTGGACTTTGTTCAGGGGATGTTAAATTTGCATTATACTCTAAACAGAGGGCAATGGAGGCTGGGGGGAATAAAATTGTCCTAGAATTGACAAGGAAGAAATTTTGCTAAAAATGTGGCTGGCTGCTGAGTCACTAATTATATAAAGCCAGAAGTAGGTGGGGCCTACTTCTCATATTCTTGTGTGGATGCCTGATTATTGTCCTCCAAAGCAACTGCTCTATTCTGAACTTTAAAATGGAAAGCATAATGCTGGTGGTCAACAAAAGAGGTTAAAAGACTCTCTCAAGGCAAATCTTTAAAAATGTAGTATAAACACTGACAAATGGGAAACACTAGCCTGTGAGTGCTCCACCTGGAGAACAGCCTTTACCAAAGGTGTCATGGGCTTTGAAGACGCTTGAACTCAGGACGAAAGGGAGAAATGTGAGGAAGGCACATTTGGCAAACCCTCACCGTGATCAATTCCCACCCAGAAACCTATGTCCCCCATTGTGGAAGGACATGCGGATCCAGAATTGGCTTCCACAGTCACTTGCGGACTCACTGTTAAAACCGTTTTTATGGAAGACAATCTTACTCAGCTACAAGTGATCGCCAAAGAGTAGAAGAAGATTCCACTGACCAGCTGAATCTCCACATGAGCAAAAGTGGGTCACCTGATATCATGCTGTCATCATGACATTATGTGATTGAAAGGTAGGTGACTTTATTCACATCTCAGACTCGGCCAATAGGGGGTAGGGGATATATGAATTGATTTCACTACCAGATCCAGTTGCCTACCCTTGAATCAATCTTCTTTATTTATCACATTGGACTCTCTCACTTGTTAACATTTCACTTGCCTGGTGTAGTGGTTTATAAGGTTATATGTATCTCGCAGCTGTACATATGGAGAGATGCCATTAAAACAGAAAAAGTCCCTTCACCAGGTCTAAGTACTCGTCCTGCAAAGAATCTGGCACGACATCTTCCCAGGCATGTACTTACATCACTGTTGACAACTTCACTGTCATTGATTACAAATCTATAGCTGGCATCAGCTGAAATGCTCTCAGCCTGAAGCCAGAAACGAACTTGGCCTCTGTCCAAAACCTCATAGGTTAATTCAGACTTCAGAGGGATTGCTGGAGGGAAAGAGCAGAGCACAAAAGCAAACACGTGAAGGATTTCCCCCCCTCTTTCCTTTCTTTTCTGCTTTGGAATAACTTAGCCAAAGATAAGTCCCAGCAGTTTAAAGCTTTTGAGAGTCTTCAGCAACAAACAAGTGAAATGTTATGAAAGCTAAATGGAACCCCTCCATGGTATTTGCACAGATGTGTATTAAAGCTGGTTTTGCATGAGTCAGAGCACAAGCTGAAGTGCATATTTATTGCACTATTTAGGGCTTTTAAATACATAATCCAGCAAATATTAGACATATCCAAGCTGAATCCATTCATCCAAATACATTTGCAGTGGTGAAGAAGATCTCTCTTAAACAGAAACTAATATTTGCATTTAATTAATAGAAGGATAAGCAAGCTGCTCTATTTTTTTAAAAAAACACTTTTCATTACTTTACTCCAATCAACGGAGTGTAAATATATTCCTTCTGGGACTGAATATTAGATTCAGAAGTCCTACTTACTTGGATTTCTGATTTCATGGCTTAGTGTCATCAGACGTTCAAGCTCTGAAATGAAGGACAATTTTCATGTTTTAATTTATTCTGACAGTCAAAATAAATGTTAAGAACAGTATATGACTCCATAAAGCACTAATAATCTTTCTTTCCCCCCCATTTCGGTGAAGAAGATACCTATGAAAAGTCAACTTTTGCAAATGAAAGAATATGAGAAGAGACAGAGAGTTTGAAAAGGGCCATATACCTCATGCAGAATGTCCCAGGTTCAATCCCTGTCATCTCCAAGACAGACTTGGGGAGACCCCTTTCCGAAATTATAGAATTATCGCAGAATTGTAGAGTCCAACCCTCTGCAATATTTTGCCCAATGTGGGGCTCAAACCCACAACCTTAAAATGAGAGTCTCATGCTCTACCAACTGAGCTATCCAGCCCTGGAGCTCTGCTGCCTGTCATTGTCAAGAATACTGATCTAGATAGACCAAAGGTCTGACATGGTTTAAGATGGCTTTCTACATTTCTAAGTTCAGAATGAAATATACTAAAAGCAAAAGGTAAAATGTCTAAAACAAGCAGGGCCAGGGGCTGAGTGAGACTGCCACCTTAGGCAGCCGATTTGGAGTGTCATGAAAGGGCAAGAGATTGGTGGTTATTTAAATTACTAGTGTTGTATTTACTGCCAGGGAAGGGTGCTTATGAGATGTGCCAAAATAACATGACTGCCCTTTGTTAAGATGCACTTTGGGTACAATGAAGAAAGGGCATTTGCGGTTCCACCTCAGGATGAAAATTGTCTTGGGCCAGCCCTAATCCAACATCTACGTCTCTCATTTCTCTGCTGAGCTGACCCTGTTCCCTGGTGTCTCCTTTTGAAAGGGTCTCCTTTCAGCGTTTGCAAAAGAGAATGAAAGCTGGTGGACAGGAAATGTTTACAAAGATACACAGCAAATGTCAATAAATCCTCATAGAAATTGTGCAAAAGGCTAGGTTCTACATAGCTGGATACAGAGATTAGCCCTACTTAACACATTAGAATTGCTAATGAGAGCTCAGAAAATGGAACTAATTGCACAATGTGCAAATTTGCAAGTAACAAAGAAAAGGCAAAATTAGCAAGTGAAACATCAAGGAAACCCAACAGAAAGTTCTATCTCATTTCTAAAATGTATTACGTGCATCTAAGGCCCATTCATTTCAAAGGTTTCCTAGTTTGTGGGGCAACATGAATCCTAGAGCTTGTGAGATAAATGTAATATAAATGTAACATGATCAATAAGGACTGGGCACCTTAGAATTGTATCCAGAAATAATTAATTATTATTATTATTACTATGCGTCTTGCCTTGCAACCTGAGACATATGCCACTCGTGTAGATATATTTTATGTGTTACAAGTCTTTCATTAAATGTGTTTTATTATGATGTTTTTATCATCTTTGCTTGCCTGTTAAAATCTATTTGTTTGTTTGCTTGTTTGTTTGTTTGTTTTGTTTTGTTTGTTGCCTATAAACTGAACTTGGCTGAACTTTTGATTTGGACCTGATGCTAAAAAAATAATAGTAAATAGTTGTAGTATTGTGGCTCTTGAGTTACTGATGCTCTTGACGGTGCAGAGCGTCTTCCATAAGCTTAGGCTGGTGACCCAACTATTTGGACAGGGATAACATAGATAGTAATCTATGCTCTGAAAACCTCCAAGTTAAACTATTGCTTCGGAAACAGTTCGGAAGCTTCAGTTAGTGCATAATACAGCTACCCAACTATTGAGAGGTTCAAGGATCATACAATGGCAATCTTGTTACAACTACACTGGCTGCCTGTATGCTTCTGAGCCCAATTCAAAGTCCTGGCTTTGATCTATAAAGCTCTTTATGGCTTAGGACCTCAATATCTTCTGGAATGCCTCTCCACATTTAAACCTAACTGGACTCTTAGATCATCTTCTGAGGCCCCTTTCAAGCTCCCCTCTCTGAGGGAAGCTCAGAGGGTTGCGACAAGGGTCTTTTCAGTTGTGGCACCCTATCTGTGGAGTGTTCTCCCCAAGCAAGGTCTACCTTTTTCGACATCTTTTTGGCCTCAGGATATCATTTTCCCCCAGGCTTTTGAAAGACTGAGATGTGAGATGCTGCTGTTTTGTTCCTAATGTGCTGCCAAGCTTATTGTGGTTGTTATGGGGTTAGTCGCCCCCCCCTTTTTATGATATAATGTATTTATATTTATGTTTTTTAATATGTTGTAAGTCGCTTGGAGACCTTAGTGTACCAAGTGACCATCAAGTCAAATAATTAACAATCAAAGTAGTAGTAGAGCTGGAAAATGATATATCTCTATTGACTTTTCTATTGTTTAAGCAGTATTTAATTATATCAAACGTTTCTTGTTACTGTTGTTGTTTTAAAAAAGCCAAATTCTAGAATCTGAAAATTCAAAAAAATGTCTTTCCTTAAAAAAAATTAATGGCTATAAAAGTTTCATGTCCTCTTTGGCATAGAAAGAATGAAGGGTGAGATGCATACATTTGATTTGGGGGTTAATAAAGTTCCCTGTTTAGGTTTATATAACTCTGCCATGCCCTATAAAGAATACAAGATTATTTTCTTACCTTCTTCATCCATAATAAAACTGGATGAAATACCATCAGTATCGCTAACAGCAACAGCATAGGTTCCCAAATCATCCTTGTCAGGCTTCATAAAATAAAGTTTAGAACTAAAAAATAAAGTGCAAAAAAAGACAGGTGACTACTTGTTTGCTAAAAGTATCCTGATTTTCAAAGACTTCTTTAAAACAACTGTAGAACTTACTGTTCTCCAACTGTTTCAACTTTATATTTATCATGATCTTCTATCTCTTCATAGAATTTACTCCAAGCAAAATGAGAAGCATCTGAAATTTCTTTGCAGTCAAAGGCAAGGTAAATATTGCCTTCTTCATCCACACCTGCAGTGATTTCCTTAGTGTCTGCAATATATGATTGCCATGAGAAATGTAATTATTAAGGGGGTGTATGGGTTCTGTATGGGGGGGGGTAAATGTTGATTCAATTAAGAGAGTCTTAAAGTCTGGAATGTTCCTTTAATTAGTTCAATTTGCTGCTGAAGCCAGAGGGAAGAAGCAGCTTACAAACAGATAGAGCAAACAAGTTTATTTTAAGAGCTTGCAACAGTGGGGAAATGGGGCTGTTGCAGAGATATTATTATACCATCTAGCATTCTCACACAGTGAAGTTTCAGAGACAGGACAGGGTTAGAATTGGGAGGCGGTTTCAGTGTGCCCATGAAAGTAGAAACCAACATAAAATGCAGGGCTTCAGCAAGAAGCAAAAATGGCTTTAGGGGTGCACTTTGATCTCTTTGGGACTCAATCCTTTGGTTTTATAGTCAGATAGGAAAATAAACACATCTACCCCTTCCAGAGTTTAAAAAGTTACCCCGCGTTGTAGATATTTGGGCATTTTAGAAGTATAGCAGTCAATATCATGTCTTCGTACCTGGTCTAGCCTGGACCAGCACAGCTTCAGAAACATCTGAGGGCTTGCCTACACCAGCATCATTCACTGGACGAATTCGAAATACGTAAGATCTGCCCTCATGTAATTCAGTGACCTTAAAAAAAATACAGACATTAAAGTGCTTTCAACTAACAACAAGATGGGGGGGAATTAGAAGTGACAACATCCCAAATACCACAGCAAATAACTTCCGAGTACTCTCCTTCCTAAGGGACGCGGGTGGCGCTGTGGGTTAAACCACAGAGCCTAAGACTTGCCGATCAGAAGGTCGGTAGTTCGAATCCCCACAACAGGGTGAGCTCCTGTTGCTTGGTCCCTCTCCTGCCAACCTAGCAGTTCAAAAGCACGTCAAAGTGCAAGTAGATAAATAGGTACCGCTCCGGCGGGAAGGTAAATGGCGTTTCCATGCGCTGCTCTGGTTCGCCAGAAGCGGCTTAGTCATGCTCGCCACATGACCCGGAAGCTGTACGCTGGCTCCCTCGGCCAATAAAGCTAGATGAGCGCCGCAACCCCAGAGTCAGCCACGACTGGACCTATGATCATGGGTCCTTTTACCTTTACTTTTACTCTCCTTCCTTGGAGGTGTTTAAGCAGAGGTTGGGTGGCCATCTGTCATGGACGCTTTAGTTGAGATCCCTGCATTGCAGGGGATTGGACTAGATGACCCGGGGGTCCCTCCCAATTCTAAGATTTTTCTACCTTTTGATAACGGTGTGATGTTGGCTTCTCGTTGAATGTGAACCATTCTTCTCCTTCCTCCTCCTTGTAGTCCACAAAATATCCACTTACAGGGCTGCTGCCAATGTAAACAGGCGCTTTCCAGAGAATTACAAGGGATGTATCCCTAACCTCACAAAACGTAAGATCGTAGGGAGGGCCTGAAGAAGATGGATCATAAATGGATGTCAACAAGAGAAATGAGGGAGAAAGTCAGTTCAGTTCACATTTAAAGGCAAACTTCACTCATTAGCACTTTTTAACATATGCATAAAAATGCATACATTGGTGAAAATAACATACCGGAATGTATTATATTAGGGTGAATTGCTTTGCAAAAATTTGTATATCCACAACGGTTGGTTGGTTGATGTCTGTTTTTCACTCTAGGTTTTTCACTAGGTTTTTTTTTTGTTGGTTTTGTTTCTATTGCTGTAAACTGTTTTGACATATTCTTAATGATATAGCAGTATACAAATAATTTTATAAAGAAATAAAATTACATACAAATGTGTCTATTGAGAGAAATTTGCACTAGCATGCTGCTGAAATTTCATGGGGACTTTAAAAAAAAGAATCACAAATGAATGTGGAAATGTTGTGAACTGAAAATTGGAAGAAGAAAAAAATTCTCTTAGCAACAAGTTAAAAGAGCAGGCTTGGAAGAAGTAGGAACAAAGCCCATTGCTTCCTTCAACAATATTAAATTATGTCAGAATTGGATCCACAGTTCAGCCAAAATTCACAGATGGCAAAACTGGAGAGGCCATTTCGTTGAATGTTCTCTAGAGGGGAACCTGAAATTTCCTGACTGTTCAGGAGGAGCTGAAAAGAAGAGCATTTTCCAAACATTTGTCAGAAAACTCTTTTCTGAGAAATGTCAGACCAGTCCTAATTACCACCTAGCAAACAGGTTCATCCCCTGTTTTCCTGTACAAGAGTGATACATTAGAATTCAAGAGCATAGATTGCTAAATGGAATTTAGTAGTTTCAATCTGAGGTAAGAGGCATTTCAATGGGAGATTCCATGTGTTCAAACAGTATTTTGTGTGTGTGTGTGCATGCACAAATGCTTCCTTTAAATACAGTTTTAATTTATTACTGTTCTGATGTGCCAACCTGCTCCACTGAGTTTAGAACTAACTTTGTCACCGAATACAAATGATTTCATTAACACTTATATTGATTTTACTGTTTCCACATGAATAGCATGCACAAAATGGAAACTAGTATTCGCCACTGAAGTCCTTCAAGTGTTTGAATTTCTTTTGCAAAGGGTTTGTATCAATCTGCCTGTGTTTTGTAAGGAAGTACTTTTCATGGTAATGGAACAACAACAAAAAGGCATGAAGTGGAAGGCTAGAGAAAAATTCAAGGAATGTAATGATATTTCCCTCGAATCCAGCTATAAGCAGGTGCTTTATTCATGTCTTTCTATGTTGAGAGGGTGAATCTTTACTTCATGATTTATTTTTTCTATAGCTGTCATTGAGAGTTCCAGTGCAATGCAGCTTACCACATTAATATTTATATACCCAAATATTAAAATACTCTCATATAAAAAGAACCACAGCAGGTTTGTGCCACAATTTCCCAACGTAATTCAAACTGCTTTATTCAAATAATGCAGGACAAGCCCATCATTTTCCTGCTTCTAGATGCGTCTATTAAAGACTAAGAGACTAGCCTGAAATTCCGCAAACATGTGCAGAGGCAATAATCCAAAGTGGAAGGTTATAGAAAGGACTCAAAGAAGTAAATAGTGATTCCCTTTTTCTCTCAGCGTGATTATAGTCACTTTCTTGAGATTGGAATCTATTTATGAACAAAAGCTTGAGGCTGAAGACATATTCCCTTCAAATGAAACAGACAAACAACATTACCTAGAAGCTTCTGTTTGCTTTGATTAATTAGAGAGCTGGGCAAGCTATCTGAAGCTCACCTTGGAAGAACTTGGAAAGTTTCCAGGAGTGGAGATAGGAAAATTTGGGTCATTTTTGGAATACTTTTGTTGTTTTTGTTGCAAATGCAGAAACCCTTGGCAGAATGATCATTTTCCTGAGCATTTGGGCCCTGATGCTCTGTTAGCCCAAGTGTCAGAGGAATATAGATGGGGAGAGAAAGGAGACCTTGGAACCACGCCTTGCGTGCCGCCATTGTTGCTGCTTCCCTCACTATTTGACAAATAAGGGAAGGAGTAATGGTGTTTCAGTGGGCAAGAAGGCTTTTTTTGGGGGGGGGTGAGGACTGACAGGGATAGTATGGGGGCATCTTTCCAAGTCCTCAGACTGACTTTGAGAAACAAACTGAGATCTTTTAATTGACTGATTTTTTAAAAAAAAGATTGCTCACCCACCAATTACTGAGCACACTGAGAATATTCTCTCCACTGATTAACTAACCACAGTTGATTCACCAAATGAAAGGGGACATATGCGCCATCTCTAGGGGACCCTAGGTGCCAAGGCACCCACAAAGGTTTCACAGTGGGTGCCCAGCCGGGTGCCCTATGGTGTCGCATGTGTGATGTCAAGGCCTGATGGGGCTCGACGCAGCCACTGGAGGCTCTGACGGGGCCCCTCACAGCATGTGACATCATGTGTGTGCCATGTTGGGCTGTGTGTTGCCATGTGATGCCATGCATCTGGCATACTACTACTAATAATAATTTATTATTTATACCCCGCCCATCTGGCTGGGTTTCCCCAGCCACTGTGGGCGGCTTCCAACAAAACACTAAAATACAATAACCTATTAAACATTAAAAATTTTCCCTAAACAGGGCTGCCTGTAGATGTCTTCTAAAAGTTTGGTAGTTATTTTTCTCTTTGACATCTGGTGGGAGGGCGTTCCACAGGGCGGGTGCCACTACCGAGAAGGCCCTCTGCCTGGTTCCCTGTAATTTGGCTTCTCGCAGTGAGGGAACCACCAGAAGGCCCTGGGCGCTGGACCTCAGTGTCTGGGCAGAACGATGGGGGTGGAGACGCTCCTTCAGGTATACTGGACCAAGGCATGACATCACACCCACCCACACACCAGGCACCCTCAATGTGGGGCAAAATGTTAACAGCCCACAGAAGAAGAAGAAGAAGAGTTTGGATTTGATATCCCGCTTTATCACTACCCTAAGGAGTCTCAAAGCAGCTAACAATCTCCTTTCCCTTCCTCCCTCACAACAAACACTCTGTGAGGTGAGTGGGGCTGAGAGACTTCAGAGAAGTGTGACTAGCCCAAGGTCACCCAGCAGCTGCATGTGGAGGAGCCAGGAATCAAACCCGGTTCACCAGATTACGAGTCCACCGCTCTTAACCACTACACCACACTGGCTCCCACAGGACTTGTATTGCTTTCCCCTGCTAAACTGTGAAAACCTTTTCTTATGACAAACTGCAGTACTGCGCTTAAAACTCAAACATATTAAATTACGACTGCCATTGTCAAGTGATAACCTTTGAACTGTCACTCATTTTCAAAAACGCATTCCCTTTATGAATGGCCAAACTACTTACCAGGTTCTGGCATTGTCCAAGCCTCACATTTGAAATGCTCGCTGGGTTCAGATGCCTGCCCTATGCCAGCGATATTTGCGGCCGCAATTTTGAATTCATAGTAGGTGTTTTCTGTCAAATCCTCTACCTTTGCAGAACAGTTGACATTAAAAACAAATTTAACATGGGTAATATTCACATGACCTTCTTAATAGAAGTAAGACATTCAAAATCTTCTCATTTATTTGGAGTTAACTTCCGTAGTGCTTTAAGCTAAATAACCAAGTTAATTTAAAAAGAAAAAATAGGGAGGAGAGCTCTTGTTCTGGGTGTTTAGCAATTTAAATATGGACAGGTTCCAAAAGAGAAGCAAAGGCTGGTCTGTTTAAAATAAAATTTCCAATGGGAAACTGTCCTGTGGTTGTCTTTTTATAACATGTGATTTTGTTGGCAATAGATAACAGATGAAATGTCTGTCCAGACTCATTCATCAAACAGCAACAAGTAACAGTAAGATGTAGCTAGAAATCAACCACAGCTCAAACATGCTGGTCAATTGCTCCATCCTGTCTTCTGACTTCCAGGAGAAACAAAGCACAAGGTTGGGCTTATCTATACATGCAAACCAACACTTGCCGTTTGTTTCTCCCAAACCAACATGAGCAATTAGTCATGAGCGATCTTAGCTCATGCTGGTGGTTGTCTGGAGTAAAACAGACCCTAGTTGGCATGCACCACTAAGGCAAGACTTGTGCTTGTGTTTCTCCTGAAAGCAGGCAGGGTGAAGCGGAACAGAAGTGATTGACAGGCATGCACCAGCACACTGTTTGTTCATGGTAAACCATAGTTTATTTCTGACTATGGCTTACTGTTACAGTGATACCTCAGGTTAAGAACTTAATTCGTTCTGGAGGTCCATTCTTAACCTGAAACTATTCTTAACCTGAGGTACCACTTTAGCTAATGAGGCCTCCCGCTGCCGCCACACCGCCGCCACACGATTTCTGTTCTCATCCTGAAGCAAAGTTCTTAACCCAAGGTACTATTTCTGGGTCAGTGGAGTCTGTAAACTGAAGCGTCTGTAACCTGAAGCATTTGTAACCCAAGGTACCACTGTATGTGCAAACAGCATCACAGTCTCATCCTGTTCTGAACTTGTCTTTTCCTTTATGCCAGCATGAATAGACCACTATAGAAGCATTGACTCAATGCAAGAGGAAGGGAGGGAAAACCCAGCCAGATTGGCGGGGTATAAATAAAATTATTATTATTATTATTATTATTATTATTATTATTATTATCTCATCCACTGCATGCAACTGCACAATGTGCCCATACAGACAATATGTGCTACTGTTTCTTCTCTTCCAGGCCATATTTTGGAATGGTTTCATCACAGCCAAAATTACATCTTAAAAATAAAGTGATATTAAGTCTAAATACCAAAGTTTGAAAGCAATACTGACCGTATAAATCCTCTCTTTAATAAGAGAAGAGTTGACTTCATGCCAGTTGTGATGATGTAGCTCTCGTTTGTCTATGTAATAACCCAGAATATTTGACCCACCACTGAATCGTGGAAGCTTCCAGCCAATGGTCATTGAGTGGCCATCACAGTTGAGAAGTGTGAGACCATAAGGAAAGGAGGGGCAGGCTTAAAGAAATCAAGCGCATGAAACATTATAACAACATCCAAACAGAACAGCTCGCATAATACCAAATTGTTCCTTTTCTACCTATCAGTTGCGTTACGGTGAAAAAATGGTTTCAGACCCAGCTAACAAATATAATATACATAATCCTATGCATGTCTACTCAGAAGCAAGTCTCATAGTGCTCACTGTGGTCTACCTTAAACACATTATAGGTAAAGAAAGGCTTAACTAAGGCATTATTTCCCATCATCCCTCAGTAATGCTCTTCCATGTTCCCTTGCAGCAGCATTAACATAAAACAGCTAGGTTAATCATCTTCCTAATGTCCTAAAGACCCCAAAGATTAGATTGTTCAGAACCCATTTTTAATGTTCCTACCCTTTTTCTTGAGCAACTAAATTGCTTTAATGAGCCAAGCTAACAAGGGTTGTCCTATATTGCTGTGACTCCCCACATCGTACTGGAATGTGCCATGCCATTCCTCACAGGGAAACTTCTGATAATGTGAAACAGTCCCATGCTATTGGGACACGAAGCAGTGTGCTACATGTTACACAGCACATGACAGAGTCACTGCAGGGAGATGGCTCACCGCTTGGATCAGGTAACACATATGCCAGCCCTGTGACACTTGTGAGTACAAAAGAGTTCTCAGTGTCTTTTTGTTGCTGTTACTGAATCTGGATCATTACAAAACATCACTTACTGAGGGCTGCTTGTACTGTTATAGGTTCAGACTCCTGAGAATTTTCACTCATTCCCACTGCATTTGCAGCCTTCACACGAAAGACGTATTTCTCTCCTGTTGCTAAGCCATGCACAGCAAATCTGAAAGAAATGGGGATGGAGGCTGTTACAGGGATTGAATGGAAAGATGGAAAGATGTATACGTGGATAATGAGAATTCCTGACCTATATTTGGATCTGATATCCCGCTTTATCACTACCCAAAGGAGTCTCAAAGCGGCTACCACTCTCCTTTCCTTTCCTCCCCCACAACAAACACTCTGTGAGGTGTGTGGGGCTGAGAGACCTCAAAGAAGTGTGACTAGCCCAAGGTCACCCAGCAGCTGTATTTGGAGTGTACCGCTCTTAACCACTACACCACACTGGCTCTCATCAAAAGTATGTTCTATGTGAGCAAATTTGATGCATTGTTGAATATAATTTCTGCAACATCTCCCTTCAAACGAGTTAGGGAAGATGTACACATTTGATTCTAGCCCTCTTCATAGTTCCTGTGCCCTCAGCGGTTCAGGGGCCAGTGGACCAGGAGAGGGCATTCTCTGTGGCAGCCCTTAAATTGTGGAATTCCCATCCTCACAGGATGCATTCATTCCAATGTTTCCATCATATGCCAAAGACAGATCTCTTTGCTTTTGGCAAAGAGGTATTTCTATTATATGATCCACCTTATTCTTCTGATTGTGGAATGTTGAAACAGATTTTAGCATTGTATTTCTCTATTCTGCCCTAGAGCCTAATGGTTAAAAGGAGGCAATAAATGCAGTTAAGTAACAGTAATTACAACAATAACCACTTGTATGGTATATTCAGTGCTTTTCTTCTAGAAAAATGGTGCTTGAGTACTGCCAGAAAAAGCACTTATATTATTAAGCATCAAATTAATGGGGAAATGAAGAGTTTGGGGTCTAGAGAATAATTTGAAGCTAGCTGAAGCTAAGAAGCTCTGAACCTAGTCAATGTCCATCCAAAATTCATGTAAGGCTCTGAAGCTGTTTGACAAAGAGGAAAAGGAAAAGAAAGGTAATAAATCAAACCATCACAATTCCCTTTACCTGTTATAGCCGATGGGCTTATGGTTACAAGGTTCCCAGTGATTCGATCCTGCCACAGAACAGTCAATGTAGTAGCCAAACAGGTCTTCTTCATGTTTTGGCTTGTCCCACTGGACAACAACAGAGGTTTTTGTGTTTCTTGTTGCCACTATACGTCCCGGAGCAGAAGGAACAACTGTGCCACAAGAAGAGAAGGTTTTGCTCTTGTTTGTAACTATTTGCATATCAACATATAGCCAGCTTACCCGCCACCTCTTGGTACACCAACAAATAACTACTTAGCACACAATATCCCAGTTGCTGAACCAGCACAATACCAATGCAATACAGTCCCAAAGCTAAGCACTTTTCAGTCCTAGCAATTTTAATGGGAAAGTGTGATGATGCCAGTGTCTGGAAATAATGCGTTCAAGATACCCTCTCAGCTTATAATGCCTAGATGTGTTCCAAAGAGAGATTCTTTGTCCTAAAATTTGTACTGTTCTTGGAATTCAAAATGAGACGATGGATGCTTACAGACTCTCTGTTTTGGATGGGATTCAATCACATACCAGGAAATTCGGGCTGCACAATTAAAGAAGATTTGGTGCTCTTTCAAAACAAACCTGCTTCCCCAAAATGTTAGACTTTTTGCAGTAAGGAAAGTGATGGGGAAACGCACTGAATAGTGTGGGGTAGCACTTGCTTGAAAAACTGAGGTCTAATTTCCTACAAAAAAGAATCAGGATGAATGTTCATTAAGTAGCCTGTGCAGTCTAATCTCTCCATGAGCAAATTAGGATAAATGCTCAATAAACAGGTTGTCTGGAAGTGACCTATGTTGTGTTTACATGCTAATTTTGTGCCTATGCAGTCTTTGCTAATCAGAGTGGGTGATCAAACCCAGCAGTCACTGTTGACAAATGCTCAGAAGTTGATTACTATAAACCCCTAACCCCAATGGAATTATCTTTGATTGCTGTACTTCACTAGAACTTTTTAAAATGGGAAACTCATTTGCAGAAGAACATCTTTGCTCCTGAGCAATCAATTGGCCCAGGAACTTCCAAGATCAAAAAAGCCAGGTACGTCTCAAAGGCATACAGCATGTAAATGTGACCTTTAAAGTTATTCACGGGGAAAGGTATTTACAGAAATAAGCAAAATCTCAAAACAGGATGTACAATGTAATCCATACCTAGGTTTATTAACAAACTTCAAAGATACCCAACTTAAATTATGACACAAGGAACTTATTACTTTTCTTTTGGTTGTGGCACAATTGCTTGTAACAAAATGGGAAATGACTTGATCCCCTACACATCACACAATGGAAACAGAATATATGGACAAATGCTTTATCTGAGAAACTAAGAGAGTGGACATGGGTGGTGCTGTGGGTTAAACCACAGAGCCTAGGGCTTGCCATTTAGAAGGTCGGCGGTTCAAATCCCCACGACGGGGTGAGCTCCCGTTGTTCGGTCCCTGCTCCTGCCAACCTAGCAGTTCGAAAGCATGAAGTGCAAGTAGATAAACAGGTACCGTTCCAGCAGGATGCTAAACAGCGTTTCCGTGCACTGCTCTGGTTCGCCAGAAGCGGCTTAGTCATGCTGGCCACATGACCCGGAAGCTGTACACCGGCTCCCTCAGCCAATAAAGCAAGATGAGCGCCGCAACCCCAGAGTCGTCCGCTACTGGACCTAATGGTCAGGGGTCCCTTTACCTTTACCTTTAACTAAGAGAGTACATGCACAGGATGCTGTATGTATCCGATGACTGCCACACACCAACTAGGCATATATATTTATGGGGAAATTTGAAACATTTGTCTACTGTTTTGAGTGTGAAGGGATAATGGCTCTCCTTGTACATTGGGAAGATTGAGAGGAAAGGAGCTGCACCATGGCAACAGGTCCCTCCTCCTGAGTAGTAGCTCCCATCAATCTGGTGCCAATCTACTGTCTCAACATCACTGAAGCTGCCTTCGCTTGACCCACAGAACCTAAGGCGCATTGTGAGAATGTGTTTTCATCCCATAAAGGCTGTGTTGGATGCAAAATTTAGGAGTTTTCTCATGTTTATGCATTTGTTATTTTTTATATCTGGCACTTCCTGCAATCAGGAACACAAGATAGCTAACGCTGCCTAAATAAAACAAAGATTCAATAAGAAAACCATAGTTAAAACCACAACATCATACTGTTCTCCTGACTTGGTTGAAAATAGAGATAAGCAGAATTCACTCATCATAAATCATGTGCTTATTTCTTTTCCCTTCAAACTTTAACTGGGCTTAACTGTAGCTGAATCCTGCCCCACTTGTCAGGATTCTCAGCCGCAGTCAGAGGTAACTGGCCTCACACCAGGCATTCGGCTCGAGATCCTTGATGACCTTCCCGGCTGCGTCTCCCGGCAGGTTACAGGCAAGGTCACAAATCGGCGATCCCACTCAACGTGAGAGGGACACACCCTCCTCCCTCCTCCCTGCTTCCCTCAGGGAGGGGAAAAGAGACAGACAGAAATCTATTTACATCTCTTTATTTCTGTCATTCCAGCAGTACAGAGAAACATGTCTGTACCCTCCAGTCTCCAGCAGAAGACCACACAGACTCCGCCCCTGTACTTCCAGTACAGGTCAGATGACACTCTGAGCTAACATCCGGTGCTCAGAACACTGAATAGACTGCCCCCTTTTTCCAATAGTACAGTCCCAGACATCAACATTGTGTTTTGCATTCCAGACACCTGCAGCTTGCTTTTGCATTGCTGCTTTTTCCTGACATTACAACAATTTTACTCTAGTTTGGTAGACAGAAACACCGATACAAATATACAAATGCTAAACAGCAATGCTGATTAAATTGTTGTATAACTCCTCTTTAAAAGGTAGGAAGGTGAGATAGAAGGACATCTCTCTCTCTCTCTCTCTCTCTCTCTCTCTCTCTGTGTGTGTGTGTGTGTGTGTGTGTGTTAATATAAGAGAGAAGTCAGACCTCAATTTCTATGTCTTATCAGAAGAATATAATTCAAAGAGCTCTAGTTGCTAGGCAATATCCGGTCCATGGGCTTGACTATGGATTTTGGTTGGGAAAATGATGAGTTGCCTCACAGATTCACAATCACCTTTTAAATTTTGCCATATACATGCTATGCACATTCTTGAACTTGCTAGCAGAACAGTCTACTCTTCAGCGCCAACCACCCCAATATCACTTTTTGTTAACGTTTTAAAACCGACTTACCAATGGCCTCTTGTGCTTGAATAGGAGGTGTTATTTCAGAAGGATCACTGATCCCATGCTTGTTTGCTGACAAAACTCGGAAAACATATGACTTCCCTTCAGCAAGGTCAAACACTGCATAGCGGGGAGATCTCACAGCCACTTGAGCGTTGACCCTCTGCCAGCTTCCACTGCCAACCACGGACTATTCGAAAATAAATAAATGAGTGTGATTATCACTACTTTGTAAAGGTTGTAGAAAAAGGTCCTTGAAGTGCTTAGATCGCTAAACCGTCGGCACAAATCCTTATTGTTTCCAGATAGTCAGCTGCCAACTATCCCCTTCGTTATCTCTCTAATATGGGATCACTAAGCATGGATTCATGCCAAATAGTGAGCCTTTTCTTTTACCTTGCAGGAGCTTGTCTGTTTGAAGTCTGTCATCAATAAGGGAATTATAAAAGCAGAGAGATTTTGTTTGCGTGTGCGTGCATGCGTGCGTGTGTGTGTGAATAATAATAATCATCTTAAAACAGATGTTCCTCAAACAGGATTATTGTTTCCCAGAGTCTGGAAATTGTTTGCGGCAATCCGAGAATGAACTACTTTGTGAGCATTGCTCAGTCCTGATAACGGTGGTATTGCTACTGTTTTACTGTCCTTGTGATTATTAAGAATTAAGTAGGTTTATGCACATCCCTTGAAGTAAGCCCCACTGAACTCAATAGAGATTACTTCTGAGTAAATATATATATAAAAGCTTGCGTTGCTAGTCACCTGAACTGGTTTTTTCCTATTGCACTCCGTATGTGCCATAACGGGATTCTCTTTTCTCCTGAGTATGTTCACTGAAAAAAGGGACGCGGGTGGCGCTGTGGGTTAAACCACAGAGCCTAGGACTTGCCAATCAGAAGGTCAGCAGTTCAAATCCCCGCGACAGGGTGAGCTCCCGTTGCTCGGTCCCTGCTCCTGCCCACCTAGCAGTTCAAAAGCACATCAAACTGCAAGTAGATAATAGGTACCACTCTGGCGGGAAGGTAAACGGCGTTTCCGTGCGCTGCTCTGGTTTGCCAGAAGCGGCTTAGTCATGCTGGCCACATGACCCGGAAGCTGTACGCCGGCTCCCTCGGCCAATAAAGCAAGATGAGCACCGCAACCCCAGTCGGTCACGACTGGACCTAATGGTCAGGGGTCCCTTTACCTTTATGTTCACTGAAAATAGGAAAGCAGACACCAAACCTTGCCAAGAAAAGGAATTGGCGGATTTTCCTTTGGGAAGCAGAAACACTCAGGGCAAGTGGTTAGTCAAGGCACTTTCCATCCTCACAAACTCTAACAGGAAGGCAAAGCTTTCACTGTTTCTCAGTGGTCCATCAGATACAACTCTCACTTGTTCTCAGTCTAGACCAGGCCAACCAAGCCCTGAAAGAGCACTTTATTTTGAATGCATTGTGTTTTTCTGTTGGCCACAAGAGAAAAAATCAAAGTAACAAAACATTATATTTTTCTGGTCTTTTTCATCTTCCTCTTGCCTAGGCTGGTTTGCTAATTCTATTGTTTTGATTGCTGAAACCAGGGAAACTATCTGAAACGAAAGGGTAGGTGGCCATGAAATGCCTTACAGCTGAACGCAACTATACGGCACAGTACCTTCTCAATGAAATATGATAATGGCTCTTTGCCACGGGGAACAGGTGGATCCCAGCTGAGTACGACATATGTTTTGCTGGTTTCTGAAGCGTGTACGTTGGTGGGAGGTCCTGGAATCTTAACATCGCCTAGAGGAGCAATAAACTCAGTAAGTGTTAAATGCCAGATTAACCTCCCAGGTCAGCGCTTATTTGAGAGCTTGTCTTCCTGAACTCCCTCGCTAGAGTGCATTGCTTGGCTATTAAGGGCTATAGTATCAGCTTTACAGTTTATTAAAGTTGCTTCATTTCTATTTTAAGACATCCAAGCAAGCCAATTAAAAGGGAAGGATTGATTTTTCACTGGCAATGTTAAAAAAACCCCCACAAAAATCTGAAGAGGGAACCAAAAAAAAATCCATGTGTATTCGTCTCACAAGATCTTTGTTCTACTTTGATCACGTTTGAATCACTTTAATCTGCTGTACTAAATGGCTTGATAAAGTCTTCATGCTTTATGCAGATGTGAGACAGAGCTGATCAAAGACAGGAGCCCAAAAGCTTCCGCCCCTGAAAAATGAGCAAGGAGGGAAATTCGCATGAAAGATCACAGCAATTAAGTATAAAACAGTACAGGTAAAGCACAGAGTAACGGAATAAATATCTCTTCTACGCCAGGAATGATAACAAGAACCAATGACAAATACAGTATAGGAATGGAGAAATGAGTCTCCAATCACCTTTGCCCTCAAATTCCCATCAAGCAACAATCCAAGACTTCCTAATTTTGGAAAACTGAGAGGTGAGAGAGATCAGAGTGACTGCCCACACTGCCTTAGTTTGCCCAATCCATGCTTCTAACTCAGAAAAAGTGTCTGATATTGTTCCCACCTCATTCCCTATCTTGTCCTGAAGGGGGCAACTAGAATTTAGGGAAGATGCTGCCAAAAATAGTAAACCCTTCCTCAATCTTTCTCCTGCAATGCCGAGTAAGAAAAGGGTAAGATGCGACGTCATCACATTTCCTGTTTCCATGCCTCTGCATCCACAGGAATGGAGATGGGGAAAAGGGACTCGGGGTGCATTGCATATTTTGAATTTCCAAAATATAGGGTCATGGGCAGCAGAGGGAATCAGCCCCCTTGAGGCACCCAATGCTCAAAGGATAAACACACAAGGCTGTTTGCCCATTTCTACTGCATTTGCCCCTTTGTTTTTCTGGGCAAAGATATCACACCCCTCATTTTGACCATATCAATCAATCTTTATTACGGTCCAGAGACCCAACAAATCATTACAAAGCAATGCACAATTCAGACAGCCTACCTCCAGGTTAAACAAGGATTTTGTTCAGACTTAAAGATAGGAATCATTGTTTCTTGCAACCACCGATAAAAACTTTGCCGCTGCTAATGTTCTAACGTTTGTCCAGTCTTCCAATAGGAACCTGACATAGTGAGCCTCTGATTTTCCCGGGAAAGGTACCAGCAAGGTAATATCAGTGCAGCCCTGGCTTGCTCATATTTCGCACAGTGCAGCAAAATATGTTTTATAGAATCGATGTCTTGAGCACACAAGCAAAGCATTGTGAACATAGCTCCCGCTTCCTTTTGGAATCCAACCCCTGAGAGATCCAACAGGAAGAAAGACTCCATCACACAGAGAGAAGACTTCTAGAGTGACTCCTATTAAAATTTGTAAGACACACAGGCCATGGTTTCCTTGGAGTGCATGAAGGTGCTCTGACCTTTAGCATCCCTGTTGTGAAAACCCTGCTTCAGTTTAGAACAGTCATGCCAATGAGACCTGCAATGGTTCAGTCCCAGACTTTTTCTATGCCTGTAGGCTCCACAGTCAAAGAAGCAGAAAGGAGTTGGTATCTTTGGACACTTGAGGAATTAAAGATTTGTAAAATCCAGTATAAACTGGCCTGATCTGTATCTCCCAGATTAGTGTGTGGATCATATTATAGGTATACACTGGATTTTACAGTTCTCTGAATATTGCAAATTTGTAGCTCAAAAAAAATATGTTGGGATAAAATATATTTAGATATGTGCATTTTGAGAGAAAACGTGTTCAAAAATATGTTTATATATGTATGTATGTAATTATCCAGTTTTAAAAAAAGAAATCACACAAATTAATGTGGAAATAGAAGTGAATACATATGGAAGTGAAATGGGCTACAGTCACTAGAGGCTCCCTAGGATTTGAGAATTGCTACTAGAAACATGCCCCTGAAAGAAGGATTCCCCCCCACACACACACACAAATTCATTAAAACCCATATTTCTAGCCCCTTGGATTCCCCTCCCCCCTTATCTATCAGTGCTGCTACCCACATTTATGTGATTGGTTTTATGGAGTAAAAATAAACTGGTCCATCTTTCCATACATCTGCTCTGTGAAGGCATACTGACACTGATTCGACAGACTTAAACTATTCTAACAGCCTGGAATTATAGTCCATGTGGGGCTGGGGAAATGAATACTTAGCACCACAGCAAACTTTAGTTCCCATGATCCATACACAGGGCAACAGCCACCTACTTCCTTCAATATTCAGAGGCTGGGTTCTTCTGCTTTCATCCCCCAAGATTATTGTCTATGTGTGTACAGGTGCATATATTTAGCTCTGCATTAAATAGGCAAGAGGAATGAGAGTTCATTGGGTGGGAAACACACAAAGACAAGCGGAGGAAAACTGAAAGACAACCAGGGGCAAGAAAATCCTAAATAAATGGCAGCAGGAGAGGTACAAAGGCACTAATTACGAACATACCTTCAAGGTCATCTTGGTAGATTACAATCTGTTTGTCTCCTTCCAGATGAATAGCTGAAGATCAAAACAGACATTTATTCTTTTATTCAGCTCTGCATGCTATCTGAATGCTTTTGCATTTTCTAAAGATTACATTTATTCAAAAGCCACCATCATTTTTATGCACCACTATTTGCTGATACCACTCAGAAGTGTGGAATTTTTTTAACATCTGGAATCTCATTCACGGTTACAAGTGTTGTCTCCACTGCTCTGATTTTATTCATTCACATGAGGGCTGGGATGACGAGGTATTGCCACCAAAAATGAAGCAATATTCTTCTTCTTGTTATTGTTGAGAGATGAGCGCCACACCCCATAGTATCCTTTGACTGGACTTAACCGTGCAGGGGTCCTTTACCTTACCTTGTTGTTTTTTAAAAAAGATGAAAGTAATGATCTGGCTAGGAAATATCTTATCCTCTCTTAAAATAGGAGACTTTGGGGTCATCCAATCAAATTAATAATTCAGAACAAATGAAAATTAAGTACTTCTTTAGACATCATGTTGTTTATGGATTTTGTGGTAGTGTTGCTGTTAGATGCCTTTTTGAAAAAGTTTAGGGGGAGAAATGGAAGATAGTTCTATCAGATTACAAGGCATAATAGCTAAGAGCAGAATCCCATGTTACTTATTATTATCATCATATTGGAATCACATATTATTATCAGATTTTGGGAGGACAAGCAACACGAAATGGCTGTCTTCAGCATGTCTCGTTTGTTAGTCTACCATAGACACTGGGTTACCTACTGTTAGAAATAGATGGCTACTTTGCCTGATTTAGGCAATTCTTATGTTTTCAGGTTTGAACTCAAGAACACCTCCTTAGATAGCTTACATAAATTGCAAGATGAAGATGAATTAGATTGTTGCAAAAATCATTTTTATAAGGACCTCAGCTTTGTCTAACTGATGAAAGCAATCACTGTAAAATGGATTGAAGCTAGCAATTTATAACAAAGATAAAGTTCTTCAAAATTAAACATGTCCTGTTAGTTATTGCTTTGTTATAAGTTAAATAGAAACAAAACAGAACAAAAGCTGTTTTAAGAACCCCAGACAAATGAAAATCACTCCTTGCTGTCTGGACAAGAGTTAAGAGGAATCTATATATGATACCAGATTAGTTATATTTTTACTTGAAATAATCAAGAGGAGTTTCAAAGGCTTTTAAAGATGCAGAGCGAAGAGGCAGGAGAAAGAGCTTACTGGTGGTAGAAAACTATTCTGATGTACAGGTTGAGTACTATATCTGAAAAATCAATTTTGAATGTTGAAATAATACAAATAAAAGGAACCCATGTGGATCATAGAGTGCACCTTTTAATTCTGACAGCAAGAAAGCCAAGCATATCAAGGTTGGTGCTCCCTTGTGTTATCGTTAGCTAGTGAAGATAATTGGGGGAACAGACCTCTCCACTTCCCCACAAAAAACCTCCTTCTGCTATTAAAAAAAATCCTTTCAAATATTAAGTTACAATGCAATTCTCAACATTTTAATACAAGCAGAAGTCCCACTGAAATCAGTGGGACATACCTCTTAGTAAATATGTGTAAGGTTGTGTTATGTACTGAAGTTCTCACCCTGGGCCAGCAGGGGGATACTGTAGATAGTTATGCAAATAAGGGATTGAAAGTGACGTTCAGTGATTGGATAGTTTTAGAAAGTTGTTACAGTAACGTTGTACTGGAGCTCTATATAAGCAGGCTGACTGAACCCTTCAGTTCAGTTCTATCCTGGCCTGTGAATAAACAAGAGCTGCTTGAAGAATCACGGTGTCATCTGATATGTTCACCCACAACTTAACAGGTTGCAGCTTGAATAAATGCTGAAGAGTTCTTTCATTCACATGTTACTTACTTTGCAATCTTTCCAAGTCAACGGGGTCCAGAGCTGCCACTGCTTCAGAGATTCTAGATGGCCTGCTGATGCCAGCCTGGTTGACTGCCCTCACACGGAATGTGTAGGAACGCCCTTCAAACAGCCCAGTCACTGGATATTTGCAGATTTTAACAGGAGCATCATTGCACTGAACCCAGTTTTCAGTACCCACTTCACATCTGGGTTTTGGAAAGGGACAAAAAGACAAGGGGAAGAAAAAGCTTTCCAACGTTTCGTAACAGCCAGCTAATGCCAAAGATAAGATACTTCTCTGTGACAGGATCCCACACTGCTCCAGGAACATAGAACAAAACTGAATGGCAAAGCCATGCATAAAATTCCTCTTACAGTGGTACCCCGCAAGACGAATGCCTCGCAAGACGGAAAACCCACAAGACGAAAGGGTTTTCTGTTTTGGAGGCGCTTCGCAAGACGAATTTCCCTATGGGCTTGCATCGCAAGACGAAAGCCCATAGGGAAATGCTGGCGGTCGGGAGCAAAGACTTTCGCCCACAGCCGGCCTTCAGAAGAGGACCTCTTCTGAAGGCCGGCGGGGGGCAAAAGTCTTGCCCCCCCGCCTGCCTTCCCCCCGCCTGCCCCGGGCGATCTTAAAATGCTGGCGGGCGGGAGCGAAGCGTTCGCTGCCGACCCCCAGCATTTTGAAATCTCCAAGGGACAGCAGAGAAGTCTCTGTCCCGGGGAGATTTTAAAATGCTGGGGGTCGGGAGCGAAGCGTTAGCTGACGACCCCCAGCATTTTAAAATCTCCCCCTGTCCCGGGGAGGTTTTAAAATGCTGGGGGTCGGGAGCGAAGCGCTGCCGACCCCCAGCATTTTAAAATCTCCCCGTGTCCCGGGAAGGTTTTAAAATGCTGGGGGTCGGGAGCGAAGCACTGCCGACCCGCAGCATTTTAAAATCTCCCCGTGTCCCGGGAAGGTTTTAAAATGCTGGGGGTCGGGAGCGAAGCGCTGCCGACCCGCAGCATTTTAAAATCTCCCCGTGTGCCGGGAAGGTTTTAAAATGCTGGGGGTCGGGAGCGAAGCGCTGCCGACCCGCAGCATTTTAAAATCTCCCCGTGTCCCGGGAAGGTTTTAAAATGCTGGGGGTCGGGAGCGAAGCGCTGCCGACCCGCAGCATTTTAAAATCTCCCCGTGTCCCGGGAAGGTTTTAAAATGCTGGGGGTCGGGAGCGAAGCGCTGCCGACCCGCAGCATTTTAAAATCTCCCCGTGTCCCGGCAGCGCTTCGCTCCCGACCCCCAGCATTTTAAAATCTTCCCGGGACACGGGGAGATTTTAAAATGCTGGGGGTCGGCAGCGCTTCGCTCCCGACCCCCAGCATTTTAAAACGCTGTTCAGAAGGGGGGGCGGGACACCTGCCCCAGCCGCCCCACATCGGAAAGCTGTTCCGAAGCGGGGAGGGGGGGCGGGGACACCTGCCCCAGCCGCCCCACTTCGGAAAGCTGTTCCGAAGTGGGGAGGGGGGGCGGGGACACCTGCCCCAGCCGCCCCACTTCGGAAAGCTGTTCCGAAGCGGGGAGGGGGGCGGGAACAACTGCCCCAGCCGCCCCACTTCGGAAAGCTGTTCCGAAGCGGGGAGGGGGGGCGGGGACACCTGCCCCAGCCGCCCCACTTCGGATAGCTGTTCCGAAGCGGGGAGGGGGGGCGGGGACACCTGCCCCAGCCGCCCCACTTCGGAAAGCTGTTCCGAAGCGGGGAGGGGGGGCGGGGACACCTGCCCCAGCCGCCCCACTTCGGAAAGCTGTTCCGAAGCGGGGAGGGGGGGCGGGGACACCTGCCCCAGCCGCCCCACTTGGGAACGCTGTTCCGAAGCGGGGCGGGGGGCGGGAACACCTTCTGAAGGCAGGCAGGGGGCGAAAGTCTTTGTCCCCCCTGCCTGCCTTCCCAGGGGCTTTTAAATCGCCCCGGACAGCGGAGAAGTCCTCCGCTGTCCGGGGCGATTTTAAAATGCCGCCCGCCAGCATTTTAAGATCGCCCCGGACAGCGGAGAAGTCCTCCGCTGTCCCGGGGTTTTTTAAAATGCTGGGGGTGGGAAGAAAAGCCCTTGTTCCCCCCCCCCCAGCCTTCAGAAGAGGTCCGGGGACAGACTGTCCCCGGACCTGGTCTGAAGGCGGTTTCCCTAGGAACGCATTAATTGATTTTCAATGCATTCCTATGGGAAACCGTGCATCGCAAGACGAAAAAACCGCAAGACGAAGAGACTTGCGGAACGAATTAATTTCGTCTTGCGAGGCACCACTGTACATGGTTTGTTAGGGTTGTTGAAGACATGTATGTTATTTCTTGCCATACACATCCCTGCTGAATGTGGAGTCTGGTCAGTGACTTTAGAAACACTGGGTGGCAAAACAGGGTTCTGCTGTAAGTTATGGTGCTAATGGAGTGTAGTGGCAAAATCTTATAAAAGTCCATGGAGCTGACACACATTCAGGTGTGATTTATCATAGAATTGTAGAGTTAGAAGAGACCGCATGGGTCAACTAGTCCAACCCCTTGCAATGCAGGAATGTTTTGCCCAAGTTGGGGCTTCAATCCACCATCCTAAGATTAAAAGTTTCATGCTGAACTATCCCAGATGGCTATCCCATGTATCTGCTTGTGTGACCCAGCTCAAATAAGGCTGGAACTGCGGCTGGAGACTTGGTGACAAAATCATAAACCCCACACAGAAACAGGAGCAATAAAAGAGACCCGAATGATACTGCTCTTAATTCACCATAGCAAGTAAAAACCAGTGTTACACTCCTTAATCATTGTTTATGGGTTTGATGTACGAAAGAAACAGCAACCCCACCAGACATATACCTGTCCACAAAATAGCCAATAACTGGAGCTTCGTGGGTTGTATTGGGTGGTTTCCAAGTAACAATAACATAATCTCTGTTGGCATCATAACATTTCACATCCATTGGTGCTCCTGGTGCCCCCATTACCAGGGCATCAGCATCTGAAACCAAGCAAAAAATGTAGATTTAATGACATCTGAGCCATAATTCAGTTGATATTCTCAGCGGGTGCGTGTATATGAAACCCATGAGCAATGTTTCTGTTAGTTTGCTAATGTGGATATAAATTACCATATTTATGAAATGTGTTTGCGATATTTATGACTATGGTATACCTATTGCTTTGTTTCCTATGCTTGTGAATTGCTTTGAGCATTGTTTGGAAAATAAACTTGATGATGATGATTCTGGGTTTCAATTAAACTAAACCAGGGGGTGGGAGGCATAAATTTGGTGGCTTTAAAAAGAAGTTCAGCTCTAAACCTGAGGAACTGACGTTGTGACAATAAGCTATGTGTCATAGATCATTCGTGCAAAAAAGGAAGAAGTGGCATTTCATGCCATGATAGATCCAGCTGTATAAAGGGATTTTATATACAGGAAAATATGTCCCTCCAGAACATACATTGTGTGTGCATTAAGGAAAGAGTATGCAAAAAAGCAACATGACACTATGGTTCGGCCTTAAAGAATATCCAGTTTGCGTGACCAGGCCGCGACAGCCCCAGCCCCCAGGGATCATAAAGAAAGACTAAAGACTCTGATGTGTTATGGAATTAAAATTAGGCCACAACTTTAATAAACTTCCAAATGTAGGAAGACCTTGGCTTAGGCCTTGGGCGTGTATCCCTCCCAGCCCCCCAGCTGGGGGAACTGGGGCTCCTCAGGGTAAATGGGATATGGGGATGCTCTGCAAGATGTATGTGTATGCAGGCAGCCCAGGCCATATCCCCACACGCAGGGTAGTTGACTTTCGGTGTATGGCCAGTGACACCCATATATATAACCCCTTTTAAGAAGGGACCCTGGAATCGCCGCCACGGGGGGGGGTGAGTCACCACTTCACGCCCCCCCCCATAGGGAAGGAAAGACTAAAGGATTCCACCCAAGGCTATAAACCGCCAAAGTTATGACGAATTGCTATGGGGAAGACAAAACCTGCCAATGCAGGAAAAATTCTTTCTGGTCCTTCAACAGCAACCAGTCAAAGACCGTAGCCACGCCCACTAAACAGGAAGAAAACGTTAACCTGCAAACAAGAAAACATTGAACTAAGGGAGAGGAGGGTGGGTGAATCTCCAGAGCCAACTGCCTGGCTACTGAGAAGCAGGCCAGCCCCTGTTTGCCAGTAAGTTCCCTGGGAACTGTAGCACAATCCCGCAAAGGGCACCCACAATGTAAAGTGTGAGTGCTCGTTCTGGATGTTATAGCTAATCTGTTGAAATACTGGCTCTTTGAGATTATTTTTCTCTCAGGATTGTTTTTTATCTTACCAATGTTGGGCTTCTTACCCAAAATGTGGATTGGTTGCCCTTTCATAACTGTCTTAATTTCAATAATGTTCACTTTTCTTTGGGAATTATTATTTTTTAAATGAAAATAAACATCTTCAACACCCATGTTGCCCTGAAGCCCCCTTAGTTGAGAGATTTGTTCATTGGGGAGCATGTATTAGAACAAGAATCTGTTGACCTCCAGATCTTGTTGGACTCCAACTCCCATCAGCCTCAGTATAGCCAGTGCCAAGGCATGATGGGAGTTGGAGTCTGGGGGGCCACAGGTTCCATCTCCCTGTATCAGAGCTGGCCACTATGAACATTCAACTTGCACCTTCTGCCATCTTGTCTTCTCTGAGGTGGAATTTTCCCTGTAAGTTTATGAGCAAAGAGTATACTGGAGAAACAAAACTATGGCTCCAGTGAAGAGAAAAACAAGAACAAAAAACAGAGAGCTAGGAAGTTTTATGAGATGACATTGGTACTTGTTTCAGAGAGAGAAATGGTAAATTTTTGCCCCGCCCCCAACACCAAACGGCACAGAAGATGTGTATGTAAAAAAAAACAAAAAACCCCACAGTATTTCTAAGATTGGGAGTCGGAGTGAACTTCCTTGGAAGTAAATTCTACTGAAATCGTTTATACTTGCAAGAAAATAAGTTTATTATCAGAGCTATTCTGTCACAGAGTATAATGCAGCATAGCTCAGCTGCTTATAGCAGAGGATTTCTCCCGAAGTATTTAACGAAATCTAAAATGCTACACATAACAGAAATGTGCTCATTTAAAATAAGGAATTTAAAATGGAGCCCCTTCCCATATGGACTCATATAATTTTATTCTGACTTGCCAGGGGGAATTGTGAATGCAAATGTGAGGTCAAATGGTGACCTTCATTCTATCTTAATGTATTCCTCTCCTTTTCATTTACACATCTGATTTAGGCAACCCCTTTTTCTTTTCTCCCTCAGGCATTCCATGAATTGAATCGAATTCTCCTGTACATGTGAGCACCATGGTGTGGACATACAAGTGTTGCATCCGGGTTCTTGCATGATAGTCAGCCACAACAAGCATAACCCCTGAAAGGGAGTGTCTCTAAGGGACGTGTCTCCTAATTTCCCATGGTGATGACATCTGGCAAAGATAGACTGTTGTGGCCTACCTCCCCCCACTCCCAGTTCTGATGATCAGACATGCAGAACAAAGCATAATCGTTCCATATACCAAAGAACACCTTGCCAACAAAGGTCCATATAGCTAAAGCTCTGGTTTTCCCATTAGTGATGTATGGAAGTGAGATCTGGACCATAAAGAAGGCTGATCACAGAAGAATTGATGCTTTTGAATTATGGTGCTGGAGGAGACTCTTGAGAGTCCCATGGACTGCAAGAAGATCAAACCTATCCATTCTTAAGGAAATCAGCCCTGAGTGCTCACTGGAAGGACAGATCCTGAAACTGAGGCTCCAATACTTTGGCATCTCATGAGAAGAGAAGACTCCCTGGGAAAGACCCTGATGTTGGGAAAGATTGAGGGCACAGGGAGAAGGGGACGACAGAGGACGAGATGGTTGGACAGTGTTCTTAAAGCTACCAGCATGAGTTTGACCAAACTGCGGGAGGCAGTGGAAGACAGGAGTGCCTGGCGTGCTCTGGTCCATGGGTCACGAAGTCGGACACGACTAAACGACTAAACAACAACAACAAATAAGAAGGACGAGGAGGAAAGTTCATGACACAGATGCTCTAGGGTGTGCATGTGTCTTAGAGAGTGAGAGAGTGTCAGTTTCTCTCTTTGGAAGAAGCTGTTCCTCCCCCTTTACAGCTGGAGAAAGCAGTTTTAATTCCAAGTGCTTCCTCCAAACAGATTGTCAAAAGGACTCCCTATAACTGCTGATCATTGGTTACAGAAATCTCTTTCAAACTTTGCGGGAGGCAGTGGAAGACAGAAGTGCCTGGCGTGCTCTGGTCCATGGGGTCATGAAGAGTCGGACACGACTAAACGACTAAACAACAATACCAAAGAACACCATACCTCTCACAAACAGAAATGCACTGTATTCACTCACTCCTCCTTTCGAAACTAAACGCAACGTATATAAGCCTTCATCATCCTTGTTCAGGTGGGTAAAGGACAGTGCTGCCCGGCCATCTCCAAAGAATGTTTTCGTCCACTTGGAATCTTTCACAAGCACATCTGGAACAGATTTGCACATATCATCAGGTTAGCAGTGACTGACTGACCCTGATCCTATTCTGACCTGCGCTGAATCATTGAGACAGTCGTTTTAGGGTAAACGTATTCAGGAGAAACTTTAGAGCGTATCTTTTAAAGTTCTATCTTTAAAGAACCAAACTGTCAACCTTCAGATTCATGCCACCTCCAATTATATAAAGATATGCGTATTCTATTTTTGCACTACTCAAGACTGTCCCTCAGAGACCTGATGACTAGATGTCTCAACACTGCCATTTTAAACAAATCAGCTCACCTGGACCCCATTCCCCCTACCAAAAAAACCACAAACCCTTTTGAAGCAGTGTCAACAACAACAGCGAGTTAAGCACAGGCTTTGCTCTCCCACATAAATCAATGGGATTTAAATATGCTTAACTTTGGCTGGATTGCACACACCTAATCAAGAGTTATCACTCTGTGTATGCACTTTTGATCCTTTTAAATAAACTTCTCTATCCAAGGCATGTGTCAGATTAAATTGGAAGGGGGGGAAATGACTTAAGGCCAGATTTCAGTTTAATCTGAAGTCTGCTATAAATACACACTTAATTTAAAATCTTGTGGGCATTCCTGCTGAGCAGTGAATCAAATTAAGTTTGAATTTCTCACAGGTGAGAGGTTGTGACTCAAAATTAATGTAAATTAATCAGTATGACTAGTGCAATTGATGCAATGAAACGTGTAGAATATTTTATCTTGGCTAAAGAAGATCCCACCGATTCCAGTTCTTACCTCTTACCTTAATAATTGATTTGGCTACTTTTAGGGCAAGGGGGCGTGTTTAGCTTCCTGAGAACTGTTCTATACAGATATAGTCTAATCAATAAGGTCTTGTTACAATGAGCACTTAAGTTCAGATCTCTGCACGAGTTGTGTCTGGAAATACACAGACAACTTTCAAAAGTCAGAATATTTTAGACTGTGCAATTAAGCGTGCAATTAACTGTGCAATTAACACCTATGCAATTAAGTGATTGTAATGTCATTTGTGCCTTGTGCTGGGGCCAGAAGGTGATGTTGGAGAACTCCCACAGAGTAGTGTTGGGAAACAAAACTTTCATACCAAGGCCACCTTGAGTGTCCCAATTGAGGACTTCGTGGCTTCCGTGACAACCAGTGGCCATCTCAATATATCATTGGCTGAAAGCATGTTGTAGGTCATATCCTGGATCCATACCCTCCAACATTTCTCCAATGAAAATAGGGATGTCCTATTCCATTATTATTATTATTATTATTATTATTATTATTATTATTATTACATCCCACTCATCTGACTGGGTCGCCCCAGCCACTCTGGGCAGCTACCAACATATACTGCATAAAAACCACGATGCCAATTTTACACCTCAAAATCAGGACATGTCGTGAATTTTCCTGTTGTATGGCAAGCCTACTTTTGCCAAGTATTTTAGAATGGAAATCCTGTAATGTTAATCAGCAGCAGAAAACTGAAATGTGTCTCTTTGTACTTCCAGAGTGTGTGAACCATAAACAGGATCTGACTTATCAGATTTTTATACATACTGCATTCCCCAGAGTTTAATAGCCAATAAATGCTTTAAACTATAGTAATTTGGAGCAAGCAGAAAATTCCCATGGGTCCAATTAGGAGAAGTAAACTGCGGAAGTCCACCTTATCCGTTTGTATAATTAATTCAGAAAAAAAAGATGAGGAGGGAAAGATTTTAATACTGAGAAAAATGAAACAACTTGTACAAGGGAGTGAACGGAAACCCAGACTAATCTATGCTGAGTGTGCTAAAATCAGTACTTTTTAAAGAAAAATATTCATCAGTCCATTAATAACGCTCTTACCCAAGAGGGCTTTTACCATTGGCTTTCTAGACTGATGCTATTAATTCAGAGTACATTGAAGATTTGCAGAGAGATAGCAGTCACTATCAACATGTCTGGTGCTCTTGAGGAATCTACCCAAGGACACCCACAGAGTACGCTTCTGACTGACATCACACAATACTATACCCCTTGAAAAATTCAAAATAAAACTGCATTCCCAGTTGCAGTGCCCCCTACCCTGGCAGCGACTAAAGTGAAATAAAATAACTCAAGCAAACAACAATGTGGATTTTAAAATGGCCACAACTTTAAGGCAGCAACCACCACCCACCTGAGAAAAAGGTGAGCGGCCATTTAAGAGCAGCCACATGTTTCACCTGAAGAAAGAAAAACTTACCATCTCTGTACCACTCAGCACGAGGTCGAAGGCGATTCAGCTCTGGTGTGATCAGCAGATCACACCTGAGGGTCAATGTTTCCCCTTCCACACCAAAGGTGACACCAAACCTCTCCAAGAACTGAACATCAAAATGGGAGAAGCAGATGTCCAGGGGCATGGGCACTGTAAGCAAAACAAGAATGAAGCTAGTGTGAAGTACTGTAATATAGGGAGAAAAAACAAGATAGAAAGGTGCATAACCCCAGCAAGACATTAAACATAGGACAGTTTAGACTTTCCCCCAGGAGTTGATCATTTGGTGAGCTTGTTTTGGGAAGGAGTTCCACAGACGAGGAGCACTGCTTAGAACAGGGTTTCCCAAACTTGGGTCTCCAACTGTTTTTGGACTACAACTCCTATCATCCCTAGCTAGCAGGATCAGTGGTCAGGGATGATGGGAAATGCAGTCCAAAAACAGCTGAAGACCCAAGTTTGGGAAACCTTGGCTTAGAAGGTCCTGCTATAGTGTGTTCTCCTTAATGGAGAGCACGTGTTGCGGTGGGAGCTGACAGGACACCCCACTGTTGCTGGGCGGGTAAAATTGAGTTGGCCACCGTGGTGATTGGGCTCCCCTTGTTGTGGGGGAGATTTTGATGTTGCCATTTTCTGATTGACAGATAGAAATGTTAAAACCCCTGCGCGCAGCGTTGAGCTTCCTCTTTTTGCTGCATACATCAGATTGTGTGCCCACCCTCCCTATATTTAGGGTTGTTTGGGTTGACATTGCTATGCCTGTCATGGGGTCGTCTGCTTTTGGGGCAGGGGCACGATAGGAATTTTGTCCATTTGGCTGATTGGCTGGTGCTATTTGGTTTTTGCCTACTGCATAGCAAATCGTTACAACTTGTAAGGTTGTGGTTAGGCATTGGTTTTAGGATTTGGTTGGTAGAGGGGCATGGATTGGCTGTGCCACCCCTCTAATGCTGCTGCTGCAAGGGTATTCCATTAAAGGAATCCAGGGGCTTGCCATGCTTTTGTCCGAACCCCTGACAAGGGCCTAGGGCCACACAAGAGCCCCTGGGAGCATTTGGGGAGAGGTGAGGGAAGGTCCCCTTCTCCATCGCTCTCCCCAAAACGTCCTCCCTTTCTGACTTTCGCGGTCATGCAAAATGTCAGTCTGTCCCCATGCGGGGTCAGATAATCGTAACCAATGCCTAAGCAACCACTCACATTTTTTTGTATTTTAAAAAAGTTGTGGCCAAAATTACGCCAAAAACCTTAAACTAAAATTATGTGTGAATTGTGTTTTATTTGGGGTGGCTTGGGGACCTTGACACGCAACAGCCCTAGCAGATGTTATTTGGCACCCACAAGAAGTCCTCTCCTAATGGTGCAAAGAGCTCATTGAGATTGAGGTTTTTCTAAGATATGCAGGCCCCAGGCTGTTCAGAGCTGTATAGGTTAAAACTGCCATCTTAAATTGTCCCCAATAGCAGACTTGAAGCAAAATTTATTATGATTCTGGGGAAATGGGAGACTCCTGACACCCATACGACTACATCAAATTACTAAGTGGACCTACAGGTAATAGGAAGAACTCCAGCAGGATAAGGCTCCTCATCGCCTCTGAACCCTGAAAGAAAGGGACAAACAGTTCTGACACGAGCAACTTAAGCATCATTGTGGGCATTTCTCTTTGGACTGTCTCTGTAGCTTACTTACTCCTCACGACGACAGCAGCACTGGTGGACGCCTGACCATGCACATTTGTCGCCACGGCGGTGTAGGTAGCGGTGTCATCATAGTGAGCTCTAAAAAGAGTCAGAAGGAGAGATGCAAACAAGATCACAGTACTTACAAAACCTTTTTACTTAGACTGCCAGGGGTTGGCAGAGAAGGGAGAACTGGATCAGCCCTTTTCCACAGACACTTCTTGTTTCAACTCACAAGGCAAAATGGGACGCACCACCCCTGTGCATGTCTATCAGAGAAATAGAGTTGGTGGCCCTGCACACTTTTGGTATTGAATCCACCCAGTGTGGGTTCCAGCACCTCCCACCACTGGCATATGGTCCCCAAAAGCTCTTCCACAAAGGGAGGCAGCCCTCAGGCTGAAAACACAATCCCCTACCCCTGAAATACAGGTTCAGGCTTCAAAACAGCAGCAAGAAGTCTGATATTGCTCATTTAGCAGAAACAAGACTTTCTACTTCCACAGATGAATTTGACCCAAGCAATGCCATAAAGTGTTCTCGAAGCTACCAGCATGAGTTTGACCAAACTGCGGGAGGCAGTGGAAGACAGGAGTGCCTGGCGTGCTCTGGTCCATGGGGTCACGAGGAGTCGGACACGACTAAACAACAACAATGCCATAAAGATGGGCACAGAAGGAATCAAACTCTTTGGAACGTGTTTTAAAATTGAACTTCCACTGAGTCTTCAGGTCCCAGGGTCCTGCAAGAAACCTTTAAAAAAACTGCAATACTTTTGTGCTACATTTGAGAATATGTGCTTGGATGCTTCTTTGTAAAATCCAGGTATGTCCTAACATGTTCACTAGACAAATTTCCTCCTAAGAGACCACATTTTGAACGTCTGTGCCTTTAAACATGAAGTTTCAGATTTCCTCTGCAAAGATCATATTGAGATTAGATAGATATATTATAGATAAGGAAAGGTGAAAAAAGAAGGATATAACTATCGCTTTCACATTTGCTTCTGATTTGACAGACAATAACCGACACAGAGAGTTGGGATGCCCCGTTAGCTTTTGTGGTGTGAAGTGGATCTTTTCGCAAAAGAAACAATGTCACAGCCTTGCTTTGCATGAGGAGAAGGGAGAGGAGGGAATGAGGAGGAAAAATAAAGTGAAGATCTGCAATCAGAGCACTTCCTTTGGTCTGTGACATCACTGAAAGGTGAAATGTTCACTACTTCATTTTGATAACTCGCTTATGAATGACAGTAAACTCTGGAATCACTTTACAGTAGTCCTATCTAAGGGTTGTAGCTCCTCCTAGAGGCAGATCATCGCTCATGCATTGCAAAAACTAGAGGCGAATCGGTGGAATTTAATAGTCACAGAGACTTGAAAATTGTCTGTTATATTGCAAAAAGTGAATTATAGTCATTAGCAAAAACAAAAAGAAAAAGAAAAACAAGACTGTACTGTGGATGCAATGGATACTATTTATTTTATTATCCTACTTTTCTTTCTAAGGGAACTCAAAGCAGCTAACAAAAACCTTTTAATCAAATTAAATTAATGCTCACTTCTGATAAAATGTGCATGCCTTCTGAAAGGGCAAACTATACACAGAATTGTTTCTGGACTTCTGTGAAATTGAAATGACCAGCCAAAATTCAGTACCTATAGATTGGATCAAAGGGTGCCTGGTAACAGTCTATTTCTGTAGAGTGAAGGGAAGCCTTTTTGCTGTTGCTGTCACCACTAGATTCCTATCTTCATCATCACCACTAGATCCTTATCTATATTTTGCACACCTGTGGAAACTCTCTGTGGAAATAGCAACAGCCTTGCTAATAAAGGAAACACAGATCATGCACTGACTGTACCTAGACAATAACAAGGTTGTTGATGCTGTCTTCGCATGACAAATAGTAAAGAAATGTGAGTTATCTTTTATGAGCACAACTTCGTTGGGAAAATATTTACTGACAATTCCTATTTGGGCATTAGCACTTTGCCTGAGAGGCTAGCAAATGGAAGGGAAGGTGAATCATACCCAGGTTTAATGAGGCCCTAAGCTACTGAAGGTAATGGGGCCCTTTATATGTCCAGCTGTCCTTTGTCAACAACAAATTGTCACTGTTTTTTGTGTTGAATATATGCTATATGCGGCGCCCATTGCTTACATCATAGGAGCCTACACAACACACAACACTGTTACTGCATGTAGGTTTTGTTTTATTTTATTTGTTTTTTATCTTATATTTTGGAAATGTACATCCAGTTTTTTCCCTTTAAATTTTTTTGGGGGGCCCCAAGAGAGTGGGGCCCTAAGCTATAGCTTGTTTAGCTTATACATAAATCCGGCACTGATCATACCCTCGTATCCATTTGCCTGGTCCTCAAACATGAGGCCTCCTCTAATGAGGAGCAAAGGAGCAGGACTCCTCCCCCATCTGATCTCCACATTGCCAATGATCCTGAGGAACCAATGAATTGGGATATCCCTTCACCAGGATTAGAGGACCCCCGCCAGCTGTCTGGGTTCCTGGCCAGCTCCCTCATCCCTCATCTCCCCAGGCAGGTTCATGTGGGTGGCAGCAGTTCATGAGGAACTGGTTTCTTAAGCAGTCAATGAGGGTATTGCCACAGTAGATGATACAGCAGAAACCACAGAATAATATGCATGGGAGATCTGAAATCAATTAATTTTATTAATTCAAAGGTAGAGGATAAGAAATCATACTTCAGGAATGGGGAACTTATAGCCTCCATAGTATATTGGACTATAACTCCCATCATCCATGACCAGTGGTCATTCTAGCTGGAGCTGATGGGAATTGGAGTACAACAACCAAGCCTCATTTTACTGTTAGGCAGAGTGATACTGCCACTTCTGGTCTGTGACTTGGAGTGTCATGAAAGGGCAGTAAACGACTAGTTACTTCAATTTTTTGGTTGTATTTTGATTCCCAGGGAGGAAGGGTTGTCCTTATGAGATGTTTTGCCTCAGGTACCAAAATAATTTGACCAGCTTTTGGTACCACATATACTGAGTACAATTGGTACGGGGCACCATTTGCTCTTCTGCCTCAGGCAGAAGAAAAGTCTTGCATGGTCACAGGTTCTTCATATCTGGATAAATGCTGCGCATAAGTGAAATCTCACATATGGTGCACGATTTAATAAATTGGGATCTCAGCTACTGGTTTCAACAGGAAGTAGAAACACTGACCAATTGAAAAGCAGTGAATGGGAAAGAGGCGCCATTTTGTTTTGCTGCTTATTCCAGGAAAAGGAATATGAAAGGCCACAGTATATGAAAATAAACGCTGCAACACCTAGCTGTTGAAACAAACACACAGAGAGACAACCACACAGAGTGAGCTGATGGATCCAAAATGGGGGGGGGGAGGAGAGAGAGACTAGATTTTGGTGCAGATGTCAGAGTCCTCTGAGACAGGCAAATGGACAGATGGAACAGTGTCCAATTGCAGCTTTTAAAAAAATGATAGGGTGATGCCACATCTTTGGCTCCTCAAGAATTTTTCCACTGGAGCCAAGGAGCACCCAGTATATTCATAGGAATAAATGTCACACTTGCATCAGAAGGTAAAGTTCTCTGCATAAGCTTCAGAGAACCACTAAGATGACAGCCAAGAAATTCCTAAGCTGCTTGAAGTGGCCAAGTATCGGATGACTAGAAGCTCAGCATATTGGCATGAACAGCTGAGAAGAATACTGAAATAGGTGGAGAATCTTAGCTCTTCTATAGCCCCACCACCACCCAAAAATGACACTAGAGATGTCTGCAACTTTCCAGGATATATCTTCAAATCTTAATAAGACCCCACCTCCTCTGGACTACTTTTCACACAAAAATGTAAACAGATGCAAGATCAGATCATGAATCTCCTTCATAACTGTGGTCTTCATTCACTAATTATGTGGGGTTGTTATTTTTCCCAAAAAAACCCCCAAATGTTTTAAATCAGGCAAGGCCAAACTTGGCCCTCCAGATGTTTTGGAACTACAACTCCCATTATCCCTGACCACTGGTCCTGTTAGCTAGGGAAGATGGGAGTTGTAGTCCCAAAACATCTGGAGGGCCAAGTTTGGCCATGCCTGTTTTAAATGAAAGCAGAGGAAGGTGATGGAAATCCATGATCAGTTTTCCCTTTTTTTTCTTTTTTGTCCAGGACAAGAATGATAGACAGTAAGCTTCACCTGAATGCAAATGCCTGGCTTTCTGAAAGATGGAGTGGGTTAAACTGTGGAATAAAATTTATGGCTGGACATCATAATTCAAGAGTATACATGAATGCTAGTGAATACAAACTGCATTGTGCAAAGCACAGATACATACCTTGTTGCAACACTAAAAAAATTCATTCTCCTTCCATTCCAAAGATTGTTAATGAATATCAAGAGGGAACGCCCAAAGCACTCCATTCAGCTTTTTCTGATCTCGGACTTATTTTTCCTGGCTGTCGCCAAATATTCCCCCTTTCTATAATATGGGGATTGTAAAGTCTGATGTCCAAATTACTACATCGCAAAAGACTTGGGAAGCGGCACCAAACATCAGCTGTAGAAGAAGTTGCTGTAGGTGCCTTTCTGGATGCAACAGTATGACTCTGTTAATTAATTCAATTAATTACATACCATAATCTGCAATAAGCAGCAGTCTGGAGTGATATTTAAGAGTTTTATTCTAGAACTGGGGATGCCCAGATTCAGATGCCCCCTTGGCAATGAAGGTCGTTGAATGAACCAGTCACACTCTGAGCCTAACCAGCTTCAAGGGGTTGTTGTGAGGATAAAAATGGATAAAAAGAACATTGTACAGCACCTTGAGCTTACTGGAGAAAAGGAGGAGCAAGTAAATGAATGTAAAAAGAAGAGAAGAAGAGTTTGGATTTGATATCCCGCCTTTCACTCCCCTTCAGGAGTCTCAAAGCGGCTAACAATCTCCTTTCCCTTCCTCCCCCACAACAAACACTCTGTGAGGTGAGTGGGGCTGAGAGACTTCAAAGAAATGTGACTGGCCCAAGGTCACCCAGCAGCTGCATGTGGAGGAGTGGAGACGCGAACCCGGTTCACCAGATTACGTGACTACCGCTCTTAACCACTACACCACAAGAAAAAAGAAACATATGCACATGGTTAATGATGTATTACTAATACGTGGTGGACACATAATTCAACGAATATTTAGTTAAATATGTTAAGTTAAATTAATTGGGGGGGGGGGGACTTGCAAATACCGGATAGGCTTAGGATTTATATATGTAATTTGTGATGATTCAATATGTTGAATACTGAATTGGTTAGAAAGAAAGATGTTAAGCGATTAAGTAAATTTTATAAGAATACTGAATTGGAAAACCGTTAAAATGATATCCATTGAAACCCAACCATGGGGATACGAGGAAGTCACTTAACAATGTTAATTAGATTAAGGCTCAAAAAGGTTATGATTTATGTTTGTTTATTTGTTTATGTCTTTGTTTATCTGTTTGTGTGCTTAAATATTTGTGGGGGGGGATAAAAAAAAATTCAAAAAAACCCCAAGCATCATCCAGTCCAACCCCCCTGCAATTCAGGAATCTTTTTGCCCCATGTAGGATTTGAACCCATGGCCCTGTGATCAAGAATCTCATTCTCTACCAACTGAGCTATCGGATTTGGTTTCGGTGGGCAGTTTTATTAGGTTGTGTGTAAGAGAGAGGAAAATAGACATGGAAAGAAGAGAACAAAAGCCCTCAGAAAACCATGAAAGAAAGAGAGCGTCTCCACTGGACAGCACAGTTGCTCACTGGTACCCATTAATTTATCCCAGCTAATTATATAAAGTAATAAGTAATGATCACTCCTGGATATATATATATTCAGCAAGTTTCTCAGCGATTCATTAGCGCAGCATCTTTTCCATTAGCACCACCAAATGCATCCACTCCCTGCCCCTCGATCTCTTCTTAATCCAAGCAAACAAGCATAGGCACCAAAAACATCCAATCTCAAGACATGTCCAAATTCCCTCAGGCACACCTTCAATCACACAAATACAGAGACGCTTGGAAGAAGACCCTTTCAGCCAAATGCATCTAGACTTCATTCACTGGCTTTTCCAGGGATTATTGTCCTTTCCAGGTGCAAACTAAGTGTGATGGGATTCACACCTTTAGCTTTTGCTTATAAACCACTGGCATGGAGAGAGGGAATATCCAGACTGGAACTATGGTATGAGGAGGGGGCTTTACTCCTTGGTCCAGCTTGGAATCAAAGGGTGAAAGCCTTCTCTCCCCATATCACAGCCCCAGGCTGGCTACCCCTCCCACCACACAAGAGCTTAAAGACATAAATGCCATCACATCTACAGTTTGACCCCAAGACTCCTAAGAAGTCAGAATAAATGATAACATGGAAAGATACTGGGGAGAGGGGGAGATCATCTCCCTGAATGGAAATGGACAAAAGACCATCACCTGTTCTAGAAAAAGATACAAACATTAAATCAGGCAGATTCCAAGCTGCTATTAGACAGGTTTCTGCCTAATTTCTAGGAGAGAGAAAATAACATTTCCCCCCTGATCCTTCCTATGGAAAGTGGATATGAGACAATGAAGCATTAGCCTTTGCTTGCATTTCCCATGATTATAAAAGTCAATTTTAGCTTATTTCCCTGGCTTCTTTAGCATTCTCTTTCCTTAAATGGGCTTATGGCTACTTAAACTTCAGCCAGCATTTGCTGCTGACCGCCAAAGACAGCAGCCTGATCGATTTGTAATTATCTGACTGGCCAAACAATCATTTGTGTTGTCTGTTTACAGCAGGTTTTTCCCTGCACTTGGAAAAATCGAGGATTTGTTTCATCAATTTCCATTAGATCAGGGGCAAGCAACCTAAGAGCCACACATTTATCTGGTTATTTTGCAGCCTGTTTTGCTCTGGAGTCCAAACGGTGCTGCCACCAGCCTGGGTCAATACTTCCAAAAGTTGTGCTACAGTATTCAGACAGCCATTCCTGCTTTCATCTCCCTCCTTCACAAGGCTCTGCCTGAAGCAAGTCTCCACCTGGGCTCACACACACCCACAAGAAAATATTTTACCCACTTTTACTTGAAACAACTAACTACAGGTAAGTCATGGTCCAAGTAGACTGTGAACTTTACAGTGCCTACCAATGCAATAGGCTCCCTCCCTTCTTAGCCTAAGAGGTCTAAGAGGACCAATGGTTTGTGTAACATATTAGAAGGTTCTGGTGATCTTCTTTCTCCCCTATGATCACAGTGGCCATACCCTCCCAAGTGATGCACCCCAAATCCAGGACACCTTCTTCCGGGTCTGAAATCCCATGTGAGTCACATGACCTGCGCAAGATTATGGACCCAGAAAAACCACTTTTTCAGTCATGTTGTTTTCGGGTACCACATGAGATTGCAGACATGAAAAAGCAGTTCTTTGGGCACAGCAGCCTAAAACACGTGTTTTGGGGTGCCGTGCAAGATCACGGACCTGGAAAACATACATTCTTGGAGTGAGATATTGGCCCAAATTTGGGCAAGAGCAAATAGCCACCATGCTATCGTGGGGGGGGGGAATGTCAATTTCTTTCCGGGCCAGTTGACAGGTATGCCATATGTTTGATGCTCAATGCACATGTAGATATGCACACATAGAGCTCATCCACATGGGGGATTCAAGCCCTATCAGGATTCTTCTCATGTACAGTCCCTGCACATGGACCAATCACATAAGTAGCCAAGGTTCAGGTTGCAAAGGGCGTGGAGCTGCTACGCACAGTCCATGTTTTCTGAATCCATGGGGTGCTCATCTGACTCCCCCTATAGTTGCTGTGGCATAGTACACTATATTTATAGAGGTCGTTTATTCACATAAACGTACTTCCCAAAAAAAGAAGAAGATATCCTTACCGGTTTATATCCAAGACATGCACCCCATATTTGCTTTCGATTGTGTACTTCCCAGGCTCACTTGCAGGAGTAATCAGTTCTTCATTTTTATACCTAACACATGAAAAGAGGACAGATCGCACCAATAAACAAATTGCAACAGTAAGTAAGGAGCAATTTGATGGCATTTAGGACAAAACAACGGTAAGAACAGCAGCTGTTTGCCCCGCTTCAATGACCTTCTGCCTGTATATAGAACGGATGGTGTAGGGGAAATGTACAAACTATGTGTATTGAACATAGATGTCCATAATCTCATTTAGTTAGTCTCACTGCTCAATCCAGCTGGGATGGCTGAGCACACAGGAAGACAGGACTTCTGTCACTTTAATGGCTGCATAACAGAGAATCTAAGTCCAGCTCCCCTAGAAACTTTATAAGCTATCCTGCAATCATTCCTTCTTCTGCACAGTTATTAAAGGCACAGGAGAACTTCCTAAGCAAATAGTCATGCTAATGGGAGACTGCATGTGATTATTGCACCATTGAATTACAGCCATCATGCAGTAAGCTTCCCTACGGTGCAATCGGACATCCTATTTCTCCCTGAAACATCTGGAAGAGCATGACTAACTGTGTGCCTCCCTGTTTGGTTTTATGCTAGCATCTGTCTTTCTCCATCACCAGCCCTTACCAAATCTGTCTTTAGAATGGCAGGGAAAGGAGGAGGACAGTAACTCATCAGTAGAGCATCTGTGTTGCATGCATAAGGCCTCAGGTTTAGCCCCAGTAGCTCCAAGAGTTGATAGAGAATATTTCTGCTGAAATCCTGGAGCTTCCACAAGTCAGTATAGACAATACTGATAGACCAATTGTCTTTGTGTAAAGCAGCTTACTATGATCCTATGACAGGTGGCAAGGGGTAAAAGGAACCGTTCGCATACATATCAACTGGCAGGATAGCAACCCTGGACAGTGGGGAGGCAACATTTTAGCTACTGTGAAACACAGTGGAAATACATTACTTATACATCCCTAATTCTGCTCACAGACCTAATTACTTCATATAAAGTTGAAGATAGACATAATATTAAGCCACAGGCAGGTTATGACTAAAATAATGAAACAGAAAATAGGTTTCCCAGGAAACAGATGGTTACAAAAGAGAAATCAAGGCACTCAGTCAACAAAATGGAGGTTAGACGACAGGCACATTCAGGCATGTGGATACGCTGCCAATGCCTCTTCACTCTTTGACTTATCAGTGGATGATTATGAGATGAATACATGAACGTCCTCAGGTGAAAAGAGATCCAGGATTATATTATGTGAAAATTCCACAGTGTTTGATCTGTGAAGGCTGTTTCACACATGTGGTGTCTGAACTGTCAGTGAACATGCATGGGCAGACTCACTGAGAGCGATTTATAGTTACTTCTTCTTATTAAGATGTGCTTCTCTTGAGGGAACCCTAGACAACTCACTTGCAGCTTACAGAAGGTTTAGAAGAAGGCTGGGGGAGAAGCTACAGCAGCATCTACTGGTCTATTGGCAGTGGATTGGCAAGGATTCCTAGCTCCCAACTGCTTGACAATGGCAGCAACACAATGACTCCCCCGTTCCCAAATTCTACTGTGGAAATGGAAGAGAGCTTCAGATGTGTAGCCAGTTTTGGTACTGAAAAATGTCTTGGGCTCAGAATTATTTGAATCAAAGTGTATGTCTTCTGCACCAGGTTCCAGTTGGTAGACCTTAAGAGTTTTAGTAGAAAAAACCTCCCTAAAAATATAAGATTCCACAAGCCTAAAGTCTGCCCACCCTCATTTAAATTATTACAATGATCGCCTTGCTCTACTGCTCCATGCCCACCTCTCACGCCATTGTTCCAGTTGATTCACATTTTCTTAGGTGACTTTGTAGCATTTAACTCTTCTTGTAAAGCAATAATGGTAGTCTTGAGCTGCTATGCTGCTCCATTAAAATCAGCAGGAGTTTTAAACTTGTAGAGCGGTTTCTCTCCCTCTTTCCCAAGCCATTAGGCCAGTGTGCCGCAGCTTTTGTGCTCCAAAATAGCTACTGTGTGTATGTCTGCAGTACAAAGACGGGGCCTTCGGTTCCTTTAACTGCAATGTCAACAAGCACCCATCCAGCATGTCTTTGAGGATTACAAAGCATTTTTAACATAGCCATTATGTATGTGACACTTAATAGCTGAGCTGAAGCTCCCAAATGAGTAAAGCCTCACACCATTTTGAGATTCCTGGAAAGGGGTCAAAGCCTTACCATTGTACAACAGGAGTGGGAAATCCCTGGACAGTGAAGTAAAGCCTGACGGACATCTTCTCCCAGACTGTGTGAGACCGAAGCCGCACCAAAATTTCAGGGGCTCGGCTGATGGTCTCTTCAACGGTATACCTTTCCAAAGCCATCTTCTCTTCTACCTGCAGCGCAAGAGGGGAAACAAATTAAATAAACAGGAGAAGGGGAGAACTAGGCAGTCTGGAGGCTCTTAGCAAGGAAGGAGCTTGAGCAGGCCCACAAACTAAGGAAGGGACAAAGACCCTCTTACAGTACCATCCTCTGTATGGCAATTCTGTCCAGTTGTTCTCTGGCAAGGAGCCTGGCTGTGCGCATCTCCTCCTCCAAAGCGGACAAGCTGGTGACAAAGCGGATCCTTCTCTGTTCGCTCCAGTGCTGAGACTTTTGCTCCTGAACCCTGCATGACCAGAGGAGGGGTGGGGGGAAATGGCATGAGAAGAACCCAGCATCAAAGCCTTCACGTTGTTACTGAAACTCTACAGCAGGCAAAGGAAGGCTATGAAGTTTCATTAGTGGCATTAAGGGGATGCAGATTCTGTCCTCTGAACTATTTCCCTTCCCATGATAATGCAAGAAGAATCTTGAGGGGCAGATGCACAAGCATTCCAGCATCTTCTTCTTCCTCATCTTCCTTTGCTGTGAGTGGCTCACCTAATTGGTGCTGGGCTGGAGTGGCTCCACCAATGTCACTGAGACATTTCTTTATGTGGGGCTTAGCTGAACCTTTCCGCACAACCTATGATGGTTGAAAGGATCCTGGCAAGAGAGCAGGGTCATGGTGGCATAACCCACTCACATTTAATATACCGTGTAATGCAATTACACTTGCACCCCTCCTTTCCTTTGAAGAGCACATACGTTTGCAGTAAAACACATACCCCAACCACAGGGTTGGGGACTTGTTGAAGAGCAACCAGTGAGCTAAGTACAGATTTGAACCTAGGTCTTTCCAGCCCTAACCACTGCACTACACCAGCTCTCAGATCAAGGATGGATTAACCATTAAGCAAAATAATCACGTGCTTAGGGTATCAAGGGAAGGGGGGCGCACCACAGAAATGTTCCATTGCTGGGATTACCATGGGCCATATGGCGCAGTTGAACCAGGTTCCACAAAAAAGGCTCCCACAATAAATGGGAACACACACACACACAGTGGTTAAGTACTTAATTCATTCCGGAGGTCCGTTCTTAACCTCAAACTGTTCTTAACCTGAAGCACCACTTTAGCTAATGGGGCCTCCTGCTGCCGCCGCGCCTCCGGAGCACGATTTCTGTTCTCATCCTGAAGCAAGGTTCTTAACCCGAGGTACTATTTCTGGGTTAGCAGCGTATGTAACCTGAAGCGTATGTAACCCGAGGTACCACTGTACACAATTATAAATATAATAAATAGAAATCAAGTGGAAGTATACAAAAAGAAACTTCTTTTTCCATCTTACTGTAGGTTTCATTTCATTTCAAAAAATAAATTTTTATTCTACAGTTTATTAGTGCCTATATTTTGAATTAGATATATATGGCGGCACCAAACTCTTGGAAATGCCTCTCAAGGTCTTAATCTGGTTCTGTCTCAGATCCTTGGTGGTGGGTGCCCAATCACACAGGTCGCTTAACACATGTATAGTGTACAGCAGTGTTTCCCAACCTTGTGCCTCCAGCTGTTTTTGGCCTACAATTCCCATCATCCCTTGCCACTGGTCTTGCTAGTCAGGGATGATGGGAGTTGTAGGCCAAAAACATCTGGAGGCACAAGGTTGGGAAACACTGGTGTACAGCCCCATGAGATCTGCTCACACATTATCCTGAGGGCATCTAGGGTATATACGGTACCTGCGGCAACTCTCATACTTTCTCCACCATGCCATCAGTTGCCCTAGTTTCAAATGTTGAGTGAAAAAAGGACTTCAAGGAGGGCACTGCCAAGGATGGTTCTCCAATAATATGTCCTTCAAGCTGTGTTTCAGCCTTCAAACATGAGTGGAGTGCTTTTAAGAACGACACAGAGTGCCCTGTGACTTCTATTGTATCTGCCAAATTGCTCATACACGTTGTTTTGCTTAGTTCTGCTTCCGAAAGTGGAGGGGGGAGAAGACAAGTTGATAATGCAGTTAGCAACGCTGCTGAAAGATAATCAAGCCCTGCTGAAGTCCATCGGACTTCCTTCCTAGTAGCCTTGTGTAGGATTGCACTTTAAATGTGGGTTGTTATTGGTAATTGTATTGTTGACAGACTTTATTGCTGTTTTATGGAGTTCCCTTGTGAGGTCATGGTCCTAAAAGGAGACCTAAAAGTCTCTTAAATAAGTCCATGGATTTTGTACAAAGAAGTGCTCTTTTATTTCTTTGGCCTTCATTGACCCTTAGCCAATAGCTGTCAAAAACACTCATGTCATTACTTTAGGCCTTGAAAAAGCCCAGTTACTTTGCCCAGTTACAGAGAATGAGGTCACTGCTAGCAAGCCTCAGTCCCTTTAATTGAATCTGAAGCAAGCCAGGTCAGGGGCAGGAGGCCTCTGAATACCAGCCGATACAGATCACAAGTGGGGAGAGTTGTGTTTCTCTTAGGTCCTGCTTAGGAGCTCCTCATTTGGTTGGCCAATGTGAAAACAGGATGCTGAACTACATGGGACTACGGTCCAGCAGAGCTCTTCTTAGATCCATCTGTTGAAACTGGGCTGAGGGTGGGTGCTTGGAGAGATAATAAAATGGGATTTGAGCAGTTCATCTTAGACTTTTGTTATTTTTCTGCCTGAACAGTTTTATATACCCAAGTAGATGTGCCATGGGAGATCTCCCGTGGTCATTAAAATAATAATAATAAATGCATCCTAAAGTGGGGGGGGGAGGGATAAAGCAATACCAGGCCATGGTCCTGCAGGAGGTCTTAATTTTTAATCCAAGAAGTATACTGAATTTCCCTCCCATAAGAACCAATAGGAGGGGGAAAGGATGGAAAATGAGATAACACCAGAAGCATTGGGGTAAAAATTGCCTTTTTTCCCACCCTCAGCTTCCACCATGGGTGGTGTTCTCTCTCATCCCTAACATAAGATTATTCTCCCCATTGTTCATCCATTTTAAAATCACTGATCAGACTCCTGTGGTGTGGTTGCCCCAAGAATAGATTACTAGTTTGTTAATATGGCATTGGTAGGTCAAATCCTATGACCTACTCCATTGGGGCCGCTGATTCGAAGGTGGGAAGTACCTATCTGACGCAGCCTCTCTGTGTGATCTAAAACATTCCAGTTCTAATGCATCATGAGAGCTGATCACAGCAGAGTAGCACAATAATGGCAACCGTTCTACAAAAGTGTAATATGTAATCACGTACTGGGGTTTTTTACATTCTTTATCCAACGCTGGACTTACTTAGAAATTAAGTAAACCCAGTGAAATTAATGAAGTTGCCTAACTTACATCCATTAATTTCACTGGGTCTATTCTGAGTAGCACAGAATAGTCCCTTGCAGCAGAATAGACTACATCTTCAAATTTATTATTTAAACTGAGATCAGCATTCATATTCCACCCGCTGTGATGTCAAGGGGCTGCCAACAGGTCACTTGGGGACCCTTAACTTGTCTGAAAGGAAGAGGGACGGCGATCTCTCTATAACTCTACCTTTCATGACATGCCATGTCCATGTCCCTGGGGAGTATTTGTTGTGCAATACGTCAGTGGCCGTACAGCCACTCACACAAAACAGGAACAGGGCTGTCAGCATATTTATTACAGGAGTACATCTCTCGGCTGAAACTGAGATGTCACCTTAAGCTCCCCCGATGATAAATAGAAAAGGAGGAAGATAACTATATTATGAGTAAGTTGCCCAAACATATAGTTTTGGCCTTTAGCAAGAACTTGGTACAGTTGCTTACACTACACACACACACACACACACACACACACATTTCAGTGCAGATTCATACTTAATCCAATTTTTAAAGTCTATTTTCAGTACGGGCATATGTCAGCTATGAGATTTACGAGACACTCAATGCTTCAGTATTCCAGGCCTAATAAATTAATGAGGAGCCCAGGACACTACAAGCATCTTGTCATGTTGACAGTTCTGCCAACGAAACTGCTCCTCATGGGTGTTTCAGGAGGTTTTGAGAGTTCTTAACGTAGGAAATAATTTCCTTTCCTGTTTGAGGACTTCAGTGGGGAAGTAGGAAGAATGCTGTAGTCGGCCATTATAAATATGCCCCAAAGCCACATTTACTGATGTGCCTGACAAAACACAATTCTTGGGTGCCAGAGACCCAAAGGCAACACATATGAAAACTGAAAGGAAAACTAGGAACTCCCTGTCAATGATCTGGATTGGAACTTCAAATCAAAATGAGAACTTCACCCTTCCTTGCTACTGCAGCTCTTGGCCATGTAAACATTTCTCTTCTATACCCATCCTCACTCCTGCTGGTCCTCCTTTTGCCTTTCTCCTCCTTATTCATTTGGATCAATTTTTTCCTCCTCCAACACTCCCCTCTTATCTTGCCCTTTCTCTTGGTCTTCTGCCTTCTCAGACCCTGGTTCCTTCTCCTCCTCCCCTTTACCTATTTCCTTCTGCTTCTCTGCCTCTCTCTGTGGCAGGACTAGGCAAACTTTTTCGGGCCCACAAGCAAAAGCTGGCAAAGCAATCAATGAAATTTTTAAAAGCAAAACCTTTGAACATTAGGCTAGTCTCTACACAAAAACACACATTCAGCCTTCTCTATCCTCCATCCAAGGAAGAAAAGAAAAAGCATTAGCAGAGTTGGACACAACGAAGCCAAAATACTCAAAGGGGATGCAAAGCAGAGCTCATGAGGGGTGTGGCCTGAAGAGGGGGTGTGGCCCACAGAGAGCTCCAAGGGACAGACAGAGAGGTCTGCATCTGGCCTTCAGGCCTGAGGTTTCCCATTGGTGCTCTGAGAACCTTAGCCAATGGCATTTGCACCATTCTTAGACAGCTCAGCCAATCAATAGGGTAGTGATTAAGGGAGGGACTATAGCTCAGTGGTAGACGACATGCTTGGGAGGCGGGTGGCGCTGTGGGTTAAACTACAGAGCCTAGGACTTGCTGATCAGAAGGTCGGCAGTTCGAATCCCCATGACAGGGTGAGCTCCCGTTGCTCGGTCCCTGCTCCTGCCAACCTAGCAGTTCGAAAGCACATCAAAGTACAAGTAGATAAATAGGTACCGCTCCAACGGGAAGGTAAACGGCATTTCCGTGCCCTGCTCTGGTTCGCCAGAAGCGGCTTAGACATGCTGGCCACATGACCTGTAAGCTGTACGCCAGCTCCCTCGGCCAATAAAGCGAGATGAGCGCCGCAACCCCAGAGTTGGCCATGACTGGACCTAATGGTCAGGGGCGCCTTTACCTAGACGACATGCTTTGTTTGTAGAAGCTCCAAGGTTCAATCTTGGGCATCAGCAATTAAAAGGAGACAATACTGGGCTAGATGGATGAATATAAGGCAGCTTCCAATGAATCACTAGAGTCTTTTCCACCATCACTTTCCTTAATTTTATATCTCCCGGCTGAAGAAAGCTTTACCTCATTGCCTGGGATTCGTGTGACTCCTCTTCAGAGGAGACATGATGAAGTCTCCTGGCACACAAGCGACACGTTGTCCTTCCCACGTCAGCAGGTGCAGAATAGGAAACAGCATGTCTAGAAGCAGCTTGTCTGGAAGCAGCCCTTATATGCAAAGCAATGATAACAACTTTTACGATAACGCAGTGTTAAGATTTCCATGTCTTTCTGGGGAAATCGAAAAACTAGTCATTGGCTGACTTGCATCAAGGAAATATGTGTCAGATTTTCTTTTGCCCAGTTGCTAAAATGGAGGGGGGGGGAAGCTATCCAAATGGCAATAAAAGGTCATGGTTGTTTCAGACTAGAGAGGTAACTGAATTTGAACTGAGAACCTAACAAGCTCCTCTTCACTAACAGAAGCCTTAAGACAGATGCTCCAGTACTATGGTGAAGGGAAAACACAGATGATTGCAGCTCTGTGACTTTTTTTCAGAACAGGAACAATGATGGCATCTGCTGGAGGAAAAAGTACGGTAACTTGAGTGGACCTGCCTTACACCTGGGAGTTAACAAAGTGATAATGAGGTTTTCACATTGCTTTTGTGACAGCTTAGCATAAAAGAAGTTGGAGAAGGAGGAAAATAATCCAGCAAAGGCTGGATATGGTACTTCTTTCTGTTTCTTTGATGTGGTTCCTACTTCCTACTATCAGTTTAAATGGTAAAAATTTGTATTTCTTTTCAAAAGCTAAATATTGCATTTTAGCTGGCTGAAATTCTTTGGCTGAAGCTCAAGGTGTTTTACAAGCTGAGCCTAAGCAGTCAAAAGCAAACACTCACAGAGTTTGCTCCCAGAAAACTATGCACAGAATCACAGTCATGCTACTCCTAATAAAATGGATATACTACAATGTAACGCATTGTTTGCACATGTATATAATAATGGATAAACATAGCTGCCTCCGTTTTGGACTCTTCTCAAGACACAGCTATATGGACTGTCGTGGTGAGGCTGTGCACTGCAAAAATGTATCATTATACTTCTCCCGGTTCTTCAGCATGACCTGAAGGTCACAGCTTTTCCATTCACCTCTCTTAACTATTTGCACAGGGACAAGTCAAGCTTCTCATATATCCAATATGACACCAATATTTCCAGTCAACACCAGGAGAGTGAGGCAGATCCCATAACCCTCCAGCTTCTCATTCTTTGTTATGGCAGGGCTACTTTAAAAACCATTTGCTGTTCAGTGAAGCACGATTGTCATTTGGTACACTGGTTTGCTATTATTATTTTATTGCAAAACTCTGTATTACTTTTCCTCTGTCATCTGGTTTTGCGAGTGTGCGTTTGTGTGTGTGTATATATATATATACATGTTGTTGGAAAATAAATAAAATCAAATCTGTTGGCTCAGATGCGCATCTTAGGACTGAGCCATTAGACCCACCGTGCACAACTTGTTCCCTGATTTGATGTACGTCATAGGGTGGTCCTTAACTTTGGTTAACCCTGCTGATTAATCAACCAGCAGATGGGTTGGTTGATTCAGGATACATATCCAATGCCTGTGCCAAAACCTGCTTAACGCCTGTAATCAATAAAGTTGTAGCCTGTTTAAATCCCAAGTGGTTGTCCTGTGTTGACAGTGAATTTATCATGCTTTGGCCCCACCACCCTGGGCTTCACCCAGACCCAGAAGTATGGCACTTACCTTCTTGCTGAATATTCCTGAAGCAAATACCTTGTCTGAATATTGCGATAGGACTGGTCAAAGTGCTTGTGCCTCCTTTGATAGAATGGCACTGTAGACGACATCTTGGAATCTGCTACCACTCACTGCTCCTGTGAATTAAACAGTGACAATCCTATTTACCTGGGGCTTTCAGAACCTTCGTTGTTTCTCTTAAATTCTGGAGCTTGAATGGGCAACAACAGATCGTGTTAGACTACTCTGTAAATTAACATGATGGAAGATACTAACAAATATATGGACTGAATATTTAGGATCATGTGCTAGGAGACATGCAGATAAGCCCTATGCAGGTTTACTTGCAAGTAAGTCCCACTGCATGCAATGAGATGTACTACCACATAAAATGTACAGCTGGGATGGGGAACGTATAACCTTCTGGATATTGTTGGACTGCAACTTCTGTTATCCTTGACATTTGTCCTAGCTGGCTGAGGCTGATAGAGAACGTTTGGAGAACCACTGGTTCCTCATCCCTTTCATATGGAATTGAATTATCGGGATGAATGCACGTGGGCCACTTTGGAACTAGCCTCAATCTCACATCACTTGAGTTCTCAACACTTAGCGTCTACAATGAAAAAGACGGCATTTGAACTGACAGCAGCTGATGCAAAATTTTCACAACAGCAAGCCATCTCATGTTACAGTCCAGGGAGCTTAGCTTTTTTCAGTCAAGGAACTGTTGTCCACCCTCCAGAGGCCCACATGTCAAAGTGGATGTGATGAGAACTGCAGTTCTTAAGGCTGACTTCCTAATGGCTTCCCCCATCAGCTATTTTACACTCTTTCGAATCATTTACCCATTATTAAATTGAGTTAAAATGTGCTTAATGTTATTTATTTATTTAAATTTGTATACCATCCAAAGATCACAGGGCAATTCACAACATAAATGGCATTTCTATTTTTAAAAAATGAAAACTGAGAAAATTGTTTGGTATCATGGTTATTACACCAGGAATCAGTATTTTTAGCAGAAATTAAAAATGATGACTGGGGCTACAGCAGATCTTTTTGTGGGGAAAGGATAGATAAGGCCTGCAGGCTAGCCACCCACTACTATAATCAGTAGCCCCAATCCACCTAAAGACTGGAAGCTTACAGACTCTTACCTGGGAATAATCCTCACTGACTACAAAGAATTGGGCTACTGGAAGCAATAGAACCATAAGGTCATCCGCTACCATCTAGCTGGATCAAGGCTGCCTGATAATGAACATGCATGCAGGGCACCCAACCTTCATGGGGCCATTTCAAATATTAAAGCCATGGCTTCCCAGGAGAGAGAGAGAGAGGGAAATCTCTGTGTCCCTTTGAGAAAGTGGCAGCTGACCCAAGTCCCTTTGGGGTTCAACCTTCATTGAAAGAAGCATTCAGAGAGACAAACAATCAGACACAGAGCCTGCAAAGGCAGCTGCATGGTCTAGAAGGGACAAGGTTTATTAAGAGAGTGACACTGGCAACAAACCAAAATGTAAAATGCATTTCCAAACTGACCATATTTATATCCTGGCAGAGTCATTGCTCGATTAGCACATTATAACTTTGCTCCATTCGACATATGTCAGAAAGAGGTACAGCCTTCTCGTGGGTGTCTCTTTCTGCTTAGACAGCTCAATTAACTCTTGCTTGCCCAAGAGGCCCATATTTCTGATTAAATTAATTGTTTTATGTTCACAGGGTTTTAGCCCCAAAGGTTTCATCTCAGGGTGGGGCGTTCAGTGTTTTTCCATATATTGCTTCTGTGGTTGTTACAATTTATATACCGCCCTTCATCCAAAGATCACAGGGTGGTTCACACCATAAAATACAAAATGAGGACACAAATACATAGTAAAACAAGAGCAAAGGTCAAAAGCAATCCAATACCCCGCCCCCCATATAACAGCCAATTCTGAATAATTGCAGCTCAGGTCTACAATTAATGTGACAAAATAATATCAGTTCTGGTTTGCCTGCACAAGTTTCATGCTTTTTCCAACAGTGAAATACTTTCCACCCAAGAAATGTATTACATTTTAGTGGCCCTTAGAGCATTGAAAGGCACAGGATTTTGTCTCACCACTAGCTAATATAATCCCACCAGTTCTGTGGGGTGAATAAGACATTTCAATTACATAGAGCATTTGGGAATCTTTTAGGAATATTATTTGCTTTTCTTCTCATAGCAATTGAGAGGAGCGGTATAACTTTGCTATTTCAGTAATGTCTTATTTTGATATGATTGACCATTCTCTGTTGTTGAACTCTTCTCCAGAAACACCATCACTACATCCTATCAAGCACTGAAATGATCCATTGTTCTCTATTAAGCAGCAGATCACAGAAGGGACATTATGAAGGCAAACCATATCAGAGCCTGTCGCAGCTGGACTGCCTCCTCCCTCCAGTACAGGGATGTTCTTACCATCATAGAACAGCTAGACCATTGGCCAAACTACCTCAGTATCATCTGAACTGACTGACAGAGCCTCCAGGATTTCAGGCAAGGTTTTCTTTCCAGTCCTACCTGAAGATGCAGGGACCTTCTGCATTCAAAATAGATGTTCTGCTACTGAGCTACAGTCCTCCCCCTTCAGTAGTCCTATGGAAAGTTTTCCAGGAGGAAGAAAAGATACCAGCAATAGCCTCCTCAAAGTCTCCTCTAGCTGGACTTTCTCTCTACCCCACCATCACCACCAAGGTCACCTAACATCAACTCCTCTATGAGCAGGGCCCTGATGATTTTTTCTATCTTGATATTGTTTATTGTGGGGTTGTTGTTTTTTAAAAAAATGCCACTCATAGGCCACTTTGGATCAATTAGTTTTCTGAGAGCTAGAATATAAACCATTGCAATAAATACACACTAGTCTTCTGTCTATTGTCACACCCCCTTCAGATGCCTCAGAGTTCCATGAGCGTTGCGGTTACATTTGTCCACGCTCCTTGTCATATGGAACAGTATTCTAATTTCCACCAGCTTCAACTTCATTGAAATATTCTCAGTTTGCAGCAAGGCACACACCCATCTCAGGAGATTATTGCTTCATCTTTCTCAGTACAGAAAAATGCTCAGTCGTCAGCTGGCCTGAGCCCACCCACAGCTTTGTCTACTTTGTGCTGCTGGAGGACCTGGATTTGGAACAACTGTCGAGTGTCAAAGGAAAGGACACTCGCAGGTCCTTCCACACTGCTGTTTTGTTGAGGTTGTTTTCTACGGCATGTTATTGACACAAAGCCTCTCTTCTTTACTGAGGGGAGGGGTTGTGAACAGGTCTCGCTTCCCGCGCTTTGCAGGGGGTGTGGATGGCCCACTGTGTGACAGGAAGTCCCGGGCCTCCATCATGCCCTCAGCCAACCAATCCAGCAGTTGGCTGGGGGATGTGATTTGCCGCTCTTAAGCAAACGCGGGACAGTGGCTCAGCCTGTTGGAGTGAAGTATAGTCTGTTCAGATCCAATGCCTAAGCCAATACCACTCACATTCTGTAACAAATAAAGTTGTGGCCATTTTTAGCCCATTAACCTAAAATACTGGTGTTCATGTGCAGTGGCAGAGCTTCATGCTCCAAAACCGGGAGGCAGAGAGCAGGTGGGGGTGGGGCTGGCACGCATCCTGGGGGCATGGCGTGCGTCCTGGGGGCAGGGCTCATTGACCGTGGGGGCATGGCGCCCAGCGCATGTGGGGAGCAGCCGCGATAGCACCCCACCAGGATTGCGCTGCCGGGGGCGGTGCGCTCCCCCCGCACTCCTCTTCCTCCGCCAGTGTCCATGTGTCTTATTTCATCATAAACCAAGGGATGGGGCTTCGACTCACAATAATAGTGCCTTAGTGGTGGATTTGTTCTGATTCAGTTTGCTACATCTGAATTTCTATTCAGAAAGCTAAGGGTGCGACAAAATTGGGATGAAAATAAACCTGAACAATTCCATATAAAACATTATGGGATTTCAGCTGGAAGCTATGGGATAAGCACTGGTTGGGAATGAAGCAGTATGGCTGTCCCAAGACATTTGCAGGTGCAAACGGTACTAACAGGGTCATTTGTGCCCACCCAGATAGCACCACAAGCACAACTCATTCTGAATGTGCAGTAAAATGGTGTCTGCAGAGCCACTAAAGGAAATGCGCCTTCCAGTTGCCATCTGACAGAAGCCAGCCTTTTTTCTTTCTTTCTTTCTTTTTGCAAAGGAAGGGAAATTCTATTAAGTCGGAACGATAGCTCGCTCACGAAAACCCCATGCTTTATAAATGATGCATTATTTCACATATTCGCCTCACCTTTCCGTCACCCCCTTCCCTCTTAAGTCTCATCTGTGTTCAGATGATGAGTCTTCAGGAAGGGGGCTTGTCATTTTTAATTCCCTGCAAAAGCACTCGGCTTATTTTAAGTGCTGTTTAAATCACCGTCGCCATAATGCCTGGCTGGGTTTGGGCATGAGTGATATGGGAAAGCTTCTGGAAGCAACGTCGCCCACCGCTTTCTGACCGTGGGAGACTTCCTACTGAATTAGCATTAAGCTCAATCCCAGGCATTAAAAGAATCCCCTGTGCTAGCACAAACCCTGTCTATTTCTGCTTAGTCAAAATCCAGCTGACTGCTTTTTGTGAGGGTGTAGTGTCCTGGCCAAACCCTAGTGCGCATGGTTGCATCCTGCCTGTCCAAAGTCCACCTGAAATTGTAATTGGATGGAAGAGGTCCTCACTTCCTGTCCTAAGCATGTGGGTCGCGCTGCTATAAGGAGCGGGACATACATAGCATTCCCCACTAGAGGTGATTGGGTTACAGAGGTGGCCAAAGTCTGAAAAGAACCCTGGGCCAGAACGTCAAGATCTTACTTAGGTCAGCATCCACAGGGATACCACATCTGAGTCTTACTCTCACTAAAGGAGGAACTTGATAGGTACTTGACTCTCTGTGAGGGACAGGATCCTGGGCTGCATTTCTCAGGCAGCATGCATACTCTACATTTAAAGCACATGGCTTCCCCCAAATAATCCACTTCTGCCCTATGGAGGAGGTGGGGTTGCAGGCTTCACGACCCAGCCGCTGCGCAATTGGGGGGATTCCCGGTCACGTCACCCCCTGGCTGGCCAATCGGCTGGTT